TGGAGAACAGCCCAGGTTTCTTAGTCCGCGGTCAGAGTCTCGTCGGAGCTCTTGGCGTGTGTACTTCCTCAGACGTTAGTTCATACTATGCTCACTGCAAGGACAGTGTGGGTCTGGACTGAGAGGCTCCCTGGCAACCCCCTGGTCCAACCCTGTTCTGTTGGGAAACAGAGGTCCTGGGGCCAGATTAGGTTGTCTACACCGTCAAAACGTGTTTCTGAGTCAGGACTGCGATGTAGGTTTAAATAGGCAGCGGGTGTTTGAACTGTGCTTCCTATTTGAATGAGTGGAGTTAGTGCAGCATATAGCTGAGCTTTTCTTTCCGAGTCTGGTTCACGCAGTAATTGGCCCACTTTGTTTTCGTCGTATTTTCAAACAGTCTTTGGGTTCTTTATTTTTTTAATCTGTATTGTGTGTTGCTGCATAAAACACACAACACTAACGCCCATTAGGATCTGTGTGATTTCACAGTTAGGGTCTTACGTCGAGAGAATGAGGTCACGACTAGGCTCTAGGGTGTAGATCTGCTTTCAGAGGGGAGGGTGCACACTTTCGGGGGGCGGGGAAGGGGTGGGAAATTCCTGCAAACTCTTATGCTGCAGGATGGCCCGTCAGGCTCCCTCCTCCACCCTCCACAGGCAGGATCCCAGGTGGTGACCCTGCCAGTCACTCACCCATTCATTCACTCATTCATTCATTTAGTATCTGCTGTGTTTACTGAGAGCCTGCACCTCTGCTGAATCAAATATGGAAGGAGAAAAGAGGAGAGATTTTTTAAAGTGCTGCTGTATTTTTTTCTAATTCTCAGTTTTCTTCTTGTGTGTATTTTTAGTCCTCCTCCAAGCAGGCCAGACTCTGAAATTTCTTTGCCTTTTCCTTCTTTTGAGCGCTGTTCCCCAGGGCTCCTTCATGTTTTATTAATAAGGACCCCTGAGACATCTAGTTCAGATACATACTCAGAAAAGCAAATTTAGAAAAAGCTGGCATACTTTATTTTTATATTAAATTAATATGGATTAGCCCCTGTAGGACTGGCTATGTTTTACCTCAACCCTTTAAGGATAAAACAGCAAACCTTTCTTGCTCCTCAAAAAATACTTTAATAATAAAGATTAGTTTTAAATCCTACAAGTAGGAATCATAATATGGCAGGTTATCTAAAGGCAAGCTTTTTTCCCTTGCTCCTGTAGCTCACCTGTAATTTTGGTCTGGTACTTTGGTGTTCGTGAGAGTATGTTTAGTATGAAAAGAATCAGCAGGAAAAGTCATACAGCACTGAGGTGTTGCTGGCATCAGCTGTTGTGTTGTTGTTCAGTCGTGTCCGACTCTGTGACCCCATGGACTGCAGCACGCCAGGCATCCCTGGCCTTCACCATCTCCCAGAGCATGCTCAAACTCATGTCCATTGAGTCAGTGATGCCATCCAACCATCTCATCCCCTGTTTCCCCCTTCTCCTCCTGCCTTCAGTCTTTCCCAGCATCAGGGTCTTTTTCAACGAGTCAACTATTTGCATCAGGTGGCCAAAGTATTGGAGCTTCAGCTTCAGCATCAGTCCTTCCAATGAATATTCAGGGTTGATTTCCTTTAGGATGGACTGGTTGGGTCTCCTTGCTGTCCAAGGGACTCTCAAGAGTCTTCTCTAGTGCCGCAATTTGAAAGCATCAATTCTTCGGCACTCAGCCTTCTTCATGAACCATCTCTCACATCTGTACATGATTACTGGAAAAACCACAGCTTTGACTATAAGGACCTTTGTTGGCAAAGTCACGTCTCTCCTCTTTAATGCGCTGTATAGGTTTGTCATAGCTTTTCTTCCAAGTGTCTTTTAATTTGGGAGCTGCAATCACCATCAATATCAGTTGGAAAATCCAAAGTGGATGAACATAAATGCTTTCTTCCCTTGAACAATTTGGAAGTCTCTTCTTTTACAAAGTAAGAAATCAGAGGTGGGAGACTCAGGGTCGGCAAGTCAGCATCACCACGAGGAAGTCAGGTTGGTTCTGTCCTTCCCGCCGGGGTCTTGGGCTTCTATGACACAGAACAACACACACCCACCCCAGTCTACACCCCAACCCGGGAACCTGTGCGCAACCATTCATCACAAGACAGAGCCTTTTAAAAAAAGCTTTTTAAAAATGTTTGCATTTTGAAAGCAAATGAGTTCATGTGTCATGGGCCACCTCCCGTAGTAAATGTGGTGTGTGTTGCAGCATGACCACCTGTGCGTGTTACTGCCTACACACCGAGCAAGTGTGTGGCCTGTAGCAGTCACATCGCTTATTTGAAGGTCAGGTAATGATTATTTAAGCGTTGCACATCCTACCATTAGCTATCACGCGTATCATGGCTGTAGTTATGTTTTGGGAAATCTGTTATCCTGCAGTATGACTTTTTTCCATTCACACACAAGAGAAAACACTCTCTGTACTTTTGTGCATAACGTGTGATTTTCAGGAGCCAGTCAGTGATGCTGAGAGGGAAACGCGGGGACTTACCCCTGCGCCGCCTCCATCCCCGTCTGAACCTGGCTCCTGCCCCTCCACCGCAGTCACTTCAAGCTGGTGTTCCTGGCTTCCTCTCGGACTTCCCGGCCACTTCCCCACGAAGCAAGAAGTGGGTTTAGAAGCTGTTGTAAAACATTCCTAGGATTCGTGATTTCATTGTGGCTAAGTGGAGAGTTCAGTGAGACTGAGTACGTGCACATTACTGCAGAGGTGTCACCACAGCAGCTTCGAGAACTCGATGGCAAGGCTTGTGCCTATGTCTCCAGGTCCTGACCCCCCCACCGCCGAATGTCCGATCCTGTCCTGGCTCGGCCAGGCGCTAGCTTAGCCTCACTGGACCCGTGAAGTCATGCACGGGAGGGTTGGCTATCAGGCACCGCCTGTGGAGCACACCACGAAGAGGAAGCCTGCTCCAGATGGCCCTCGCAGACGCGGCTTTGTGAGCAAGACAGGTGGTCAACGACAAGCCTGGCTCCGCCGATGGTCCCTGTCCAGACGCAGTGGTGAGGGAAACCAGTGCATACCCATGGAACAGCCGCGGTCAGAGAGCCGATGACTCAGGCGCTACCGGAATGCGGGGAGACGGGGCGAGGTCGTGGGTGCGCACACGGTGCCAGCATTCTGCGAGGCCGTGTGCTTCCATGCGAGGCTGAGTGTGCATCTGTCCTCTGACCCAGCAGAAGTTGTGCAATGTGCCGCTTGCACAACTATGAGCCATGGCCAACCCCAGACCACAGAATGGGCGGCTGGACAAGCTGGGAGGAGGGCCTTCCGCCTGCCAGGTATACAGAGACGCGGGCTTGTCCCAGCCGTGGTGCAGGAAACAGAGAAATTGAGGCAGCGGGTGTGCAGGGCTGAAGGAGAGCAGGCAGGCCATCAGGGAGCCCCAGGGCATCGTGGGCCCCCGGAGGGGTGAGACCGAGTGCCCTGGGCAGGGGGGCCTGGGGAGAGAGTGCAGAAGGGCTCTGGGAGGACAGAACCCCGGATCCACAGCCCTGACCGAGGGGGTTTGCACAGATCACCTGCCGAGCCTGCAGGGTCTCAAGGACCCCCCAACTCAGCATGGTCACCAAGGGCGGCAATTGAGGGGCCAGCGTGCAGTGACCTAGGGGGGCAGCAGGAGCCTGCTGATGGAAGGCCTCCCCTTCCTCTGAAGGAGGTTGTGGAGGGGGCTTCCAGGGTCTCCAGAGGACCCAGAGAAGTCCCCTCCTGCTCCCAGAAGTCCCACCAGCCTGGAGGAGAGGGCCCGGCTCTGATGACCCCAAGGATGTGCAGTGACCGTAGCTGCACCGCGCCTCAGGGCTGTCGGCACGACCCAACCCATCTCTGCCCCCTCACAAACCCACTCTCTTCCTCCATGCGACGTTCTCAAGAGTCCGGCCCGAGGTTTATTCTTCTCTGTGGCTCTGCGATTCGGCGCAGAACCCGGGGTGTGGTGAGTCTCAGTCCTGTGAGCGGAAGGGGGAATTCAGGGTCAACTGGGGCTGCAGAATCAGGTGGACCCGGTGGGCAGAGAAAAGCAAGGGCTCAGGGTGAGCCCACAAGCCGAGGGCTCCCTGAAAACCCCCGTCCCCTTCTCTTTAGCAGGAGGGTTCCCAGCGTACCCTGACCGGCCGCTCCAACCCTGGGTGAGGGCAGGCATGCTCCTAAACCCGCCTGAGGGACCGCACGTGAGGTGGACGGGCGAAGGTCTCCTGCAAGGCCACGTGCTTACTCTGGACAGACCTGGAAAGCCCGTCTCTCCCAAACTGCATTTTTAACTCAGGTTTCATGCTCACCTATTCCAGCCTATACAGCTACCAAGAAGATTCATGTTAGAAACCTGAATAATGGCTGGAAGTGGAAAAACGAATAACCCACATTCCAAGAGCTGCTACACCTAATAAGAATTTAATTCACATTGTTGATTGACATACTTCCCTGCAACAGATAGTGATTTATTGTAATGCTTTGTACCGGACTGTCCACAAAGGAAAGAGGGCTCATCTGTTTCTGAAATTGAAGGAGAAGACTATTGAAAATGGACATGCCAAAGAGATTTTATTTTTGTATTTAATTTCCACAAATCTTGACCTTTGCTAACAGAGAGTTCAGTTTTGGCTTCCCTGTGGTATTTGACAGATTCCAACTGAACTACAGGCTTTTGCCACAGTAAATGTTATTCCCTGGCACGGAGGCTTGTAGAATGGCTTAGTCCAACTTGTTATGTTTGGTTTATCTGCTTTACGACAAACAAATGCAGAGACACTTCCTAGACAGGCTCTGTTGAGTGGGGTTAATGGCATTGCTCTGGCACAAGCAGGCCAAGGTCTCAGCCGTCTGAGAATACAATCCGGTCCTGGGAGGGAGGTGATAGCTTCCAGCCATAGTCATGCACGTCTGTGGGCTTGAACCCATTCCTAGATCAGACACCAGATGGCTTTGGAACGCGCATTGGTAGTCTTATGTGCACAAAGTGGGGAGGCTCCTCCCACAGCTCACCCCGCCTCTTGCACCTCTGCGAGCAGCTCCGGGGGGCCGGCACTCCCTTACCCTCGCCGCCAGCTGTGGCCACGGCCAACATCCTCCATCAGCAGGACACGGGGCCCGGTTTTCCAGCCTGTTCTTCTCATGCTACGGCTGTCATGGAAGCATCGCTGGGCTGGTCCCTGAGAAAATGGGGTGAGCAGAGTCACTCCTCTGACCCGCATTGGGTGGGGGGCTCTTTCATGTGAAATGCACTGAGATAGGTTGTCTGTTACTGCAGCTCGACGGAGCCAGTTCTGACTGATACAGTAAACTACACAGTCAGAACCCTGAGAGTGTGTGTGCATCCGCACGGTGCAGACAGCTGGACAGTAACAGGAGTAACGGACACAGCAAAGCACTCTCCAAACCTGTTTCCTTTCCTTCCTGGACCAGAGGTGGGCTCCACCGGTCAGCTTCTCTTGTTTGCTAGAGTCCTTTCCAATGAAATGTAGGAAGAGGTGATGTCAGCCGTTTCCAGGCCTGGCCCACGGAGCATCTCCCATACAGTCGCCTCTCTGTTTTCTATTTCCTGCCGTCCAGATGCAGAGACTCCAGGAGGCCGCTGGAGGCCGCAGGCAGTGGTGGCATCAGTAGGTGGACGGGCCCGAGAGGCAGAGAGCAGACCCCTCACTGCCCCATGACCCACAGTGGGCTGTGATTTGAGTGATAAAAAAGCAAAGCGAAACACTTGCATTTGTTTAAGTCACTGAGATTTTGCTGTAGTTAGCAATAGTTGGTTACTTCCTTAAAATAAAATATTTCAACTTCAAACCAACATCATGCTTCATGAGGAAACACAAACATTCTCACTACAGTGAGAACAAGACAAGGGTCCCCCAGTTACTGTTAGTATTTAGCATCACCCTGGTGGCACTAGCCAGTGCAGTTAGGTGAGAGAAATAAATCATGGGTTTAAGCTTATCAGATAAATTGTGGAAGGCACTGGCCCTAACACCTCCAGCAATTCAATATTTGATAAAAGGATTCCATGAAGAACCTGTGAAGAATGAGTGGATCATATAATACATGATGTCAGGACAACAGGACAAGCATCTAAATAAGATTGAATCCCTGTCTCAACTATTATCTCCATATAGATCCTAGATCTAACAAGCTTTAATGTAAAACAACCAAAACAAAGCAAACGCTTATGAGCATGGAGAAGATTTCAAAGTAACCTTGGAGTGGGAAACGTCTTTCTAGAGATGATGCTCTTCCAGCCTCTGAAGAGGAATGCCAGTCGCCAGCAGCTCACCAGTGGAAGCACCCTGTGTGTGTGTGTGCATGTATCTATGTTTGTGTGTGTGTCTGCGTGTATCTGTGTTTGTGTGTGTGATGTGTTCATGTGTCTGTGCGTATCTGTGTGTGCGTGGGTGTGTGCATGTGTCTCTGTGTGTGATATGTGTGCATGTGTCTATGTGCATCTCTGCGTGTGTGGTGTGTGTGCGTGTGTCTGTGTGTATGTGTGCGTGTGTGATGTGTGTGCATGTGTTTGTGTGTATCTGTGTGTGTGTGCATGTGTCTGTGTGTATCTCTGTGCGTGTGTGGTGTGTGTGCATGTGTTTGTGTGTATCTGTGTGTGTGTGCATGTGTCTGTGTATATCTCTCTGCGTGTGTGGTGTGTGTGCATGTGTCTGTGTATCTGTGTATGTGGTGTGTGTACGTGTGTCTGTGTGTCCATCCCCTCCGGGCTCCTTGGGCCGTCCCGCTGGGGTTGGGGGGATGTGAGCGCAGCTGACGCCTGCCCTTTGGGACACTATGTCCATGACACGGATGCCCCAGGCCGGCACCGCTCCAACCAGGGGGCGCAGAGAGCTTCAGGCGCAGCGGGAGCCCTGGGCAGACAGTAGACGCGCACGGCGAGCGTGCGAGGTGTCCCCGTCGGAGCAGGCCCTGAGGGTCCCGGCTGGTTCACTACTCTAGCAGAAGGCGGCTTACCCTGGCCCATTCAGGGCCGTCGGAACTTCTAATCTTACAAGATTTAGATCCCTAGGGAGCAAGACAAGCGTGCCCAGCAGGCTATCTTAGTGACCACGCCCGCGGCCTGCAGTGCGTGCTGTGGGGCTGAGGCGTGCTGGAGGGCTCCTGTGACGAGGCTGTGGTTCGGGGCCCGCTCTGGCACGTCCCAGGAAGAGATGAGAGTGGCAGGCGGGCGACAGGGGCCGGGAGGGGCTGGGGGTGGGCGGGGGCTCCAGCCTCTGATCTGATGTCTGCGTTCACTTTTGTCCTGTTGTGAAAAATGAAGTGGGGTTTCTAGGATCCTTTATATGAGATAAAATTAGGTCCAGATGGTGTCACCGGTCATTTCTTCCAAACATTTAAGGATGAAATGGTAATAATGTTACACAAACTTTTCCAGAACATAGGAAAAAGAGAATACTTTCTCTTTTTATGAGGCCAGTCTACCCTGAATATCAAAACCTGAAAAAGACATTACAAAAAAGGAAAATTACAAGATGCTGAGTTTCCTAACAAAATTATTAGCAAACGGAATCCAGTGATGCATAAAAAGGATAATACATAGTGCTGAGTGTGGTTTATTCCAGGAATTTAGGGTGGTTTAACATTTGGGACTCAATCAATCTAATTCATCAGATTATCACAGAGTAAAAGGGGAGATTATATGACCATGTTGATAGATGAAGCAGAAAAACTGGACAAAATTCAACACTCTTTCATGATTACAAAAAAAAAAAAACCTCCCAGTAAATTAGAAATCGAGAGAAACCTCCCTTATTGTATTAAAAATATTCACAAAATAAAACCCATGCTCAGCAGTGGAGCTGGCAACTGGAGGGAAGTTGAAGCCTTAACTGAACAGACTTTGGACATGCCGAGCCCCCACAAAATCTCATTTGCCTGACACATGCGTGTGTGTGCATGTGCGTGTACAAACACGTGTTTCAGCTTCAAAGATTTTGTTACACTGTCTCTCCAAAAACACCCACTCTCCACCTGGGTGTTATCTCACTTCTGTGTTGATCGAAACGCTATCTGTCATGCAACTAAGGAAACAAACCCAAACAGGCCAAAGTGGACCCCGACACCCCACCAGGACCCCCTTCCCCTGAGAAGCGGCTGTGACCCCGAGTGGCGTGCACACGGGCCTTTGCACGAGTCTGGCCTTTGACCCCTCGGTGCCACTCGGTTCCCGGCTGGCGAAGGGGTGGACACGGCACCCGCTTCATCCAGGCCCGTGGTCCTCAGCCTCCAGAGATGTTCAGACGAAACTCCTTTAGAGAAAAAATTATCACAGAATCCCCAGAGTTTAAATTATCTTTGCTTTAGTATGTATGCACGTGCAATCATAAAGGTATGTTTAAACTCCCTCTGCTTACACATTCTGTAGGTGCATTACAGGATGCTATACTTTGAGTGGACATTTGTTTATAATGATTTATCTCTTAATCAGTGCTCTAAGAGACTCTATATCAAGTCATGGTTTTCAATGTGAATACGACCTTGACAATTAAGGTTTAGATCTTTTTCCATTTTTAACTTGGTATCATCATTTCATCCTCTTGTGCAAAGTGATTCTTTTCTCCCACGATTTCTGTCTGCTCAAACCGCTAGCAGCTTTCCTCGAACTCTCTGCGGCGTCGTCTGCCTCAGGGCATCCTTCGGGTCGGGGATGGGGCGGGGCAAAGCCGGCCCACACCTGACTTTGCAGGCAGCACTGCATCAAGACCCAGCCAGGCCGCTCACTGAGGTGTTGTCTCTGGCTCCTCCGCGCACCCAGCATGCTGAGCCTGTGGCAGAGCCGAAGGGCCTGGGGTGCCTGAGGGTTTGCTCCCTGGCCCTTTAAAGAAGCGTGTTCACCCTGACTTTTATGGTAAACCGGTCACTATGTTAGCACCTCGAAACTAAGCAGGCCTGCTCATGAAGCCCAGTGGGCCGCTGGACCTGGTATTGCGGCAGCTCCCAGCTCTAGGCACCAGATTTGTCGCGGTCGTTCAGCCCGTCGGTCGTGTCTGACTTGCGACCCCGTGGACGGCAGTACGCCAGGCTTTCCTGTCCTTCCCCGTCTCCTGGAGCTTGCTCAAAGTCCTTTCTGTTGAGTCGGTGATGCCATCCAACCATCTCGTCCTTTGTCGCCACCCTCTCCTCCTGCTCTTTCCCAGCATCAGGGTCTTTTCCAGTGAGTCGGCTTTTTGCATCAGGTGGCCAAAGTACTGGAGCTGCAGCTTCAGCATCAGTCCTTCCAGTGAATACTCAGGGTTGATTTCTAATTCAGAACATTTCAGATTGCCGTCTTTGGAGTAACCTGGACCACTTCATGCTGCCAGATGCTAGGTCTGCAGCACTGGTGCTCAGGTAGACTGGGGGAGTTTATTGGCTAAGGCAGACTCGTTGAAAATTTATCTAATCTGCACATTCATGTTACATTACAGTGTTCTCTTGGTATAGGAGGAAAATGAACATTATTGAACAAAATTTTACTGGAAAACCTACTCAGAACCCCGAAAAGAACCAGATAAAGTTCTTGACTCAAGGTTGTGTGGAGATGGAGTTTTGGGGTCTGCTTTATTTCAAGAGTTGGGATTCAAATTCAAGGGGCCCCAAATTCACCACTCTCAACCGTTTTGTGGGGATTTTAAGTTAAACCCCCAGCCAGTGCAGGGGCCACAGTCTGTGCTCCACCTAAAAGCACTTTCATGGAGAAAAGGGGCAAGAAAATGGGACTTGGAAGAAACAAGGGCTTCTCCTTTTGTGGTCTGAAGAGGTACCTGGATCGCAGCTCCAAAGGCAGAGAGGGTGCGTATTTACGCTTCCAACCAACCAGTCCTTGCCGAGGGCTCTCCGTGTGCTGAGCGTGGTGCTGCGTGTGTGGAGACAGGTGTGCGTGGACAGGTGTGCATCTCCCCAGGGACTCCCCGCCTGGCAGGGCTGGGGGTTCACAAGAGCGTGGAAGGGACGCCCGAGCACCACGGGACCCTGCGGCAGGGGCATCAGACTTCAGCTGAGGCCTTGAGTAAGTGTGGGTTAGAGAGGTCGGAAGAATTGCGAGACTCTTGCAGCATGGAGCCTGAGCCCAGGTGTGTTCGTGGAAAATTTGAGGAATGAAGACATGAAGACATTTGCAGACATGCGGATCGTGTATCCCTGAGGCATGGCGGAGCCTGCCTCTCAATCTCCCCTTGCTCGGCCTGGGGTCCCCGTCAGGACGTCCAGGCCCAACCCTGGGACGGCTTATGGCTTGGGGTGGATCGGCAGTCAAGCCTACCCCCTTTCCAGGAGGAAGTTATACTTTGCCACCCACCTAGTTTCCACATCATCTCAGAAGTAATAAAGCAGACAGACCAGTTTGTATTTGCCAAAGTCTCTTATGCTCTGAGCTTGTAATATATTGGCCTGTTTCTTCTCCCTCTGAAGAAGGAAATTTTGTTCTCATATTTCTTTCTGAGCAAGACAAATGCGCAGACACATATTTCACGGGAGCTTGAGTGCCTTGTTTCAAGTCCAAGAAGGCTCCTTGCTTTCTGCCCCCTCCTCATCCGGGCCGATCACACACAGATGCCCGCGGAGGCGTGGACAGCGTAACTTGTTCTTCAGAAGACGGATGAGAGGGCTCGTCTTCCCGGCGACCCTCCTGGAGGTCGGGGTGTGGCCTCGCTCACCACCGACCACGCGCTTGTCTCTGGAGAGGTATTTGCAACCAGGCTCCCTTACAAACACCTCTTCGAATGAAGCCAGTAAAGCTGCCCTGAGCCGCCTGCCCTGCACAGGGGCCCGTGTCCCTGGCGGGGGCTGGGAAGCCTGGCAGAGAGCATGCGTGCAGGGTCTGACTCTGTGCAATCAGCCCGGGCCCCTCAGGCAGGGCCTTTATACATGTGGGCCTTGGACTCTCGTCCCAAAATGAGGTGTTTGCACAGATGATTTCTGAAGGCCCTGATGGCTGTGAGTTCTGTGAGTGAGTCTGTTGAATGTGTTGAAAATCCCTAGACGGATGGACAGAGAGCTTGACGTTTGCTCAGTCGACGTGTTACGGGGGCGTCCACCCCTATCACAGAGCCCCACGCGGCTTGCTGGTGTCGTTTCTGCCAGTCAGCTGTTGGTGAGGATCGTGCTCTGATTTGGCTTTACTGTGAGGAAAACGGGGGTGCGGGATGGCTGTGAACTGGGGGGGATGACAGATGACATCCCATGATCGTCACCCCCCCGCCCCCGGCCAAGCTTTCATCTGAAAGACGACTGTTTCAGGACACCTGGTTTCTCCATAGCAGGACCGTGCTCTTCTCATCAAGAACAAGAACAGGAGTGATTATGTGGGAGTTTGCACTGGGGGAGTTCAACACCTTGCCCGAGGGGACAGACACTCAAAGCCGGCTCTGAGGCTGCGCGCCTGGGCCGGGGAGCACCACACTGGCAAGAACGCGCACCGAGGGTGACGGCGGAGCGCAGCTGTGAGTCCCCCCGGCCCCGGACACGCGAAGGCTGTCGTTCCGAGGGGCAGGGTGGCTGGACGTGTCCCCCTCCTTGGCCGGCTCCTGGTCTTGTGTCCAAAGTGCTGTTCCTCCCCCTCCCATCTTCGCTTCTCCTCTCCCTACCCTTTCTTCTGGATGGCCTCCCCTCTGTTCGGCAAACCAGAGAGAAGGAGCGATAGTCAAGACGATGTCCCGTGACGGTCCTGGCAAAGGCGGCACAGAGAGGGCACCAGACGGCAGGGCTCAGTCCGTCTGCACTTCCCCCTCCCCCAGTGGGTGCTGGGCGGGGCCGTCTTCTCCCTGGTTGAGTGATGCAGGCGGTGTTGACCACTGGCTTCTTGTCTGGAGTCGGAATTCCTTGTTTATGCCAGGAGCATCTGCACTTTGCTATACACACATGTGCGCACACGTGGTCACATCCACATCCCTAATGCACTCCACACAACTCAACACATCATCACATAAACCCCCACCACCCAGCACACACCACACACACGGTCTACACGCTGGTGCACACACCCTCAGCTGGCCCGGAAATCAGGCTGGTCCAGAGAGACCCAGCCAGGACCTGGGCAGGGCTAGTGGATGCGGGTCTAGGAAAGGAGGCTGCTTGCAAACTGCCTCTTCCACATTCGCAGGCTTGGTAGCCATCACAGTGATGGACAGAAGGCAGATTTTCTGGAGGCCTTTTATTTGACTCTTTGTTTGGTTTCAGTAGCTCCTGATTTTAAAGCCAAGCGCCGCCCGCCCCAGGCCACGCACCCTCTAGATGATGTGGCTGGGGTGCAGATGGACACCCGTGTTTCAGTGTTTGTAGCCATTCTGGAGGGAGACTTCCTCTCCTCCTGGCCGAGGAGGCCTTTCTTTTCAGCAGCAACTTGACTCCTGGCTACACCGGCAAGGACAGCAGGAGCCCAAGCGGGAGAATGACATTCTGAACACCCAGCCAGTGAACAGTTCTCTGGGTGCCCCGGGGCCCCACCCCACCTCCCGCCGGCCCCAACCCGGCCGTATGTTTCAAGAATCGCCATGGCGATGATGGTTTACGAGCATGAGTCACTCTTCTGTTTTTAGGGAGCCCTCGCCCGGCCCACCTCTTTTAGCACATTTCCACTGGGTGTGGTTTGGCTGCCAAGTGCAATGTGGCAGCAGGTCACTTGAAAACATTTCACAAAAAACCCAGTTCCGCAGCCTGGCTTACCTGTGGACCACATGGATGGCTGTAATTACAAACAGCTGCCCACCCACTGCGGAACAGTGAGAGCGGTCATTTAGAAGATGTTAAAAATAGCAAGTCCTGGAGCAGTCGGTTCATTTGTTGGTTCAAAAATGTTTGCCACCGAGAAGGGTGTTTTAAATGAAAACCTTTCCAGAGAAGGTTCACTCTGGCCTGGCCTGATGGTTAACCTCAGCAGTTCATGATAATAAGCATAATAGAAGAACAGCAGGCCCATGTGTGGCGTATTTACTGCTTGCAAACTGCTGCCCTAAGTAAGCATCCCCAGGGAGGCTCATGCTCTCCCTTTCCCGGAGGAAATTCTCCCTGAAGAGGCGGAGACCTTGTCCCCGGGATGGAGGTTCTGTTCTCTGCGCACAAGCCATGCTGGGAGATGAAACTCCTTCCAGAAAGAGTGCGCCTCCACGAGCCCGGTGAGGGGCTCTGCGGCCAGAAAGAGAGCGAGGGGAGAAGAGAAGGAGGAGGGCGGGCGGGAGGGAAAGAAGGAAGGAAAACGGAGGGAGGCGGGGCGGAGAGGGACATTTAAGGACTGCTGAGCAGGGCTCTCGTGGTGGGACTTCTCAAGGCTGGAACTGTTTCTCCGAGGAGGCCAGCGTGGCCCGTTTCCAGAGCTGACCTCACACCCGCTGTTGGCAGAGCTGGCTGTCTAGTCTGTATTGAAGTCGTCCATGAGGGTTTTCAACAACATCCTCATGAGGCGGACCTCTCTTTCAATTGCATCTAATCCTAGGGATTCTTAACACCTTTGAGGCAGCTGGTTCCTTAAATGTTTTCTTTCACAGTAGCAGGTACATGAGACTGTCGTGTGAGATTGCCTATTTTTTCTTGCAGGGCTTATTGAGCATCTACTGTGTGCTAGCAGATTTGGGGAAGATATACCTTAATAAAAGTATGTTGTGTGTAGGTCCTGCAGAGTGGGCAAAGTTATAAAAAAAAATATAAGGGCATCCCTAGACCTTGGTGGAATTTTGCAGACACTTGAGAACTAACCAGCAATTTAATAAACTAGAAGACTTTGTCAACCTGAAATAGGTTGGTATCATTAAGACATGCAAGGTTTCCTGTAAAACATTTTAAATGATCAACGCTGAAAGCATCACTGCCTGTTATAATAAATTGGTGGTGATGATAACTACTGGAAAGAGTTTTTCAGAGATGGACCATAAAGAAAACTGAGTGCCAAAGAATTGATGCTTTTGAACTGTGGTGTTGGAGAAGACTTTTCAGAGTCTCTTCGACTGCAAGGAAATCAAACCAGTCAATCCTAAAAGAAATTAGTCATGAATATTCATTGAAAAGACTAATGTTGAAGCTGAAGCTCCAATCCTTTGGCCACCTGATGCAAAGAACTGACTGATTGGAAAAGACCCTGATGCTGAGAATGATTGTAAGCAGGAGGAGAAGGGGATGACAGAGGATGAGATGGTTGGATGACATCACTGATTCAATGGACAAGTTTGAGCAAACTCCAGGAGTTGGTGATGGATAGGGAGGCCTGGCGTGCTGCAGTCCATGGGCTCACAAAGAGTTGGACACGACTGAGCGACTGAACTGAACTGATGATAACTAAAAAGAAATGGTAAATATAAACACAGTATTTCACTGCCCCAGCCACCATTTGTGGTAAGTCAGAGGTGCACTCATGTGATAAGGGACCTGACACAGAGTCATTTACAGTGAGAACCACTCAGGACAGAACCTGTGGGATGTGAACGATGACTGGAGAATCGGAAACATGGTCTGCGTGTGCAGGAGACTGACAGCTTTCCCAGCTACACTTTCTCAATGCCAAACACTGTTGACGTATGATGGGCAGCTAAATGAAACCTCATGGGTACAAGGTGTCCAGGACCACGTAATTTCTTTGCTGACATGCATCACAGCACTCACATTAATTTGACCATGTTCCTGGAGATAATCACGTTCCATCTCAATCTGACTTTCTGCCCCAGGACATGCGTTGGGGATGGAAGTTAGGAGTCAGGGCTGGAAGGTGTCATAAGACTCACATACATGTCCCCAGAGCTTCCTGTGATGAAACAGAAAGCTGCTTCAGGAACTGAGTCTTAATTATTACGAGTTGTGGGGAAAATGGTCTGATGTGAACTCGCTTGTACCTGAGAGGTATAAGAAGGTATGTCCGGTATGTCCATGGCGAGAATGAAGTGTGTTTTCCCCACCCCTTCTCCCAGGTGAGCTGATGTGAAAAAAAAAAAAATTGTGCTTAAATGCTCACAACTTAATGTTTATTCTGCAGTCTTTTCTTGCTCAACCTCATTAAAACAAGAGAAGAAGATGGTTAACTTAAGCAAAAATTAGTCACTTCATTAAAATCCAATGCGCCAAGCCGGTAGAGACGAGACTAGAATGGTGGGAAAATTCCTTGTGACTTTACCTGGATCCATTTATTGGTTCTACTGGTTTTTGGTGGCGTCGTTAGGTTTTCCTATATATGGTATTGTGTCATCTACAAAGAGTGACAGTTTCACTTCTTCCTTTCCAACTTGAATGTCTTCTCTTGTTTCCATTGCCTAACTGTGGTGGCTGCCTCTTCCAGCACTGTGTTGAATAAAAGTGGCTAGAGGGGGCCTCGTTGTCTTGCTCCTGATCTGAGAGGAGGAGCTTTCAGCGTTGTACCAGTCGCCTCTCGGCCTTTTGGCTAAGACCAAGTGCAGCTTTGCATCGTGAGGACGGCAGCTGTGGCTGGCCGCACATGGCCTTTATTGAGCTCTGGCACATCCTTTTGTACCTGCTGTGTTGAGAGTTTTTATCACGAAGGGATGCTGAATGTTGCCATACCCAGCAGAGCGCACAGCCAGCTGGCCCGTCGAGCACGGAGGCGTCTGGGGGAGCAGGGCCCTCAGCAGGCTGCACCCACCGGAGCTAACAGGTTAGAGGGAGACCCTCAGATCGGCACCCTCGGCACCGGCGCTAACGAGGCAGCCTGAAATGGCAGAAACGCCTCCAGCGGTGGCTCAGTCCCTGGGGAGCAGCCCGGCTGGTTCCTGCCTCTCTGGGGGACAGTTCGAGATGAGTAAGTGGGTTCCCTTCACTCATGCTCCATGTGCCCTTTGACCTGGCACTTTCGTGGTGGTTTTTAGGTTGAGTGAGTCCGCATGCATACCTTTTAGGAGCAGATTTTCTGTTCCCTGCAGTCTTACAGTTCTACTTCCGTTCTCCAAAGCCAGGCGTTAGCGGGTTTGTCTCTCGTGTGAGGGTCCAGGACCTGGGGCGCCAGGTACGGAGTTTCCATCCCTTGCTTCTCAGGGAAAAGGCCCACCCCTCCGTGACCCCTCCCAGTGGTGGATCGCCAGGGCTGGGGCGTGGGGTTTTCTTCCGTGAGACCCTCTCTCTAGCTGCCCTACCCATCCTGAGGCTTCCTTTAACCTTCATTGTGGAGACTCTTAACCTAGTTTTTAGGTCCCTTTCCAAGGGAATTCCTTCATACGTGGTTGTAGACTGCTGTGTTAGGGGAGGAGGTGCGCTCAGGCGCTTCCTTCTCCGCATCTTGAAGCGGTCTCTCGTCTTCTTCGTTAGCTGAGCTGGAGTCTGGCAGGCAGGTTCCACCAGGAAAGAGCTAACTGCAGCCAAAGGGTGGGAGGGGAGGTCCAGACCAGCGCCAGGCAAGCAGAAAGAGCCCCTGTCTCCACGCATCTGCTCTCGTGGCCAAGCACCCTCCGTGCACTCTGGGTAATGTACATACGTTCTGGCCACGCTCTGTTAAACGCAAATTATAGTATCTTGTTCCCCTCTGCAAACACAGAGCCAGTATGAATGGTTTTCCCAACGGCTTTAGTCAGAGGAAAGGCTGAACAACAGAACCTAGCTTATGGCCAGTGAACCCTCGACCCAAGCAAACCAAATAGATCAAGCCCAGATTTTGTCTACATGATAAACATACATGTGCATGACTCCAGCTGTGAACGGCTGAGTTGTGTTAAGGCACCAATAAGGATAAGGCTGGTGGAGTAAATAAAGTTCTATCTCTCTCTCTCTCTCTCTCTCTCTCACACACACACACACACACACACACGTCAAAAAGTGGTAGCTGGGTCACCCAGGTGTACGATTAATGTATGACGTACACATTGTCTTTGATTCAGGAAATAATGACTATGCAATGTGAAGGAGAAGAGCTAGGGGAGGAGGATCGTGATGATGTTTCTCTTTGAGTTAAAAAAAAAATTCTGATTGCACTAAATTTTCACCATCAACACCACCAAATAATTATACAAGTAGATATGATATGTCTATTTAATTTTGGTAGAAAAGAAAATTCCCCAAATTGAAGCAGAAGTTGATACTAAATATTTTTTAATCAGGAGTTAATTCTTCAAACACTCGACAATGTCCAAAACTGAGATAAAAATGTTATTAAAGAAAGTAACCCGGTTGGATGGGTAGGTGCTCTTTCTCCAATTATTACTGATCCTTTCAGAAGGGACATTCAATCTTTAAATGATTATTCTAAATCTGACTCCTTCTGAAGTCGTAGGCTCACTGCCTGCTCTTTTCTATTATTCTTTCTTTTAAAAATAAAACTGCTTTTCTGTGATAGACAATATTGTATTGAAATTATCCAGGGGGAAAAGAACCCAAGAGGTACTGTCTTTGATCAGAGCACAGACTACGCCTTTATGCTAAAATGAGAAGTTTAAGATGTCTTTACTTATATGAATTAAGAAATAAGGGCTGTGCTGAATATCATAATGTAAATAAAAGACATTCTTGGATCGTATCGTTTTTAGGAATGCTGTGTTGCAGGCTAATGTCAGCTGCCAGAAAAATGAAGACAGATTGACTGGTCCAGGCAGTGAGCCCGCGCTGGGCTGATGCAGGGTAGAGCCAGTCACCCTGATCTGAGGCTGGCTCACTTCTCCCAAAACTCCTCCCTGCCCTTCCCCCATCCGGGGCCTTAGAGAGATGTTTTTTAACACGTGGTCAGTGTCCTATTTGGTTTCTGGCTTCCTAAATTTTGTCCCCCTCCCCCCACAAAAGCATTATGCCAATTATTTCTGTCTTTCCTGACCAGTCGGGGGTAGGTAATTGAGGCTGGGTGTGAGCCTTTGTCTCTTGCGTCCCACTCAGACATGCGTCCACACAACAGGACAGCAACATCTCATTACATAGACTGGTCGTCGGGAAACCAGGTACTGGTTGTCAAGACAGCCTTGTCCAGGAAGTGACCAGTGGTAAAGTCTGAATTACTGTTGGCAATGTTTGTAAGACGTTCTGTTCCAGGAAGAGGGAGATGATGACCATGAAACTCAGAAAAATTGGTTTGGGGCAAATGATATGATACATGATACATTTTCCTGCTATGGAGAATGGCATGAACAGAAGGGGAAAGGTAATCTAAATGGTCTTTGGCTAAGAATGAGTTAGTCTCTGAAAGTCTGCTAAGGTACGTGTTTAGGGTCTGAAATTCACAGGCAAGGGGCAGACGTTTCAATTTCTGTATTCATTTCAGGAATGTCAGTGAAAACAAAACTGCTTAAAAATTATCCTTGAGATTTTATGGTACAAGTGCTTACTATGTTGTGACATTTTATGGGAAGAAAGTTTTTAAAAAGATGAATGTGAAACTTAGAGAAAAGGAATCCTTAACTTCTCTGTCCAACAAGAAGGATTTCTTTTCCTTTCTTTCTAACCGATTTGGTTTTTATCATCATTATTGTAATTTTCTTTTAGCATTGGCAGTTGGCATTGCAGACTCTGGGTAAAGAGGTTTCTGTTTAAAATTAAAATATTCCTCAGAATGGTAATTTCACACACACTTAGCCCACATGTGGGTTTGCATCTGATTTTTCCAATCAGGACACTTACTTGGACGGGCTTTTGAGGGTCAGTTTTCTATAGTGCATCAGGTTGTTTAGAATCCACCGAAATGCTGCACAGATGTGGGTGTCGCTGCCTCACCCCTGGCCGCTGGATGCTTCAGTGTCCTGCAGCGCTCTAACGGGGGCCTCCCAGGTGGCGCTGGTAGTAAAGAATCCGCCCGCCAGTGCAGGAGACTTAAGAGACCCCAGTTCGCTCCCTGGGTCAAGAAGATCCCCTGGAGGAGGGCATGGCAACCACTCCAGTACTCTTGCCTGGAGAATCCCAGGGACAGAGGAGCCTGGTGGGCTACAGTCCACGGGGCCTCAGAGTCAGACACAACTTGGCATGCATGTATGCAAGCAAGGCAGTGACAGGAAGCACGCTTTAACATTCTCGATGAATACGCTCTTTTCACCCACTAATCCCTGGTGTTTTTTTTTTTAAATAAGAGGCTTTTCTTACACGTATATATCATTCCCGTTTGTTGGTTATGACAAAGTCAGTATGGTTTGTGGTCGTTATTGTTACTGTTCAGTTGCTCAGTCGTTGCTGACTCTTTGTGACCCCTTGGACTGTAGCACGCCAGGCTTCCCTGTCCCTTCACTATCTCCCAGAGTTTGCTCAAACTCTTGTCCATTGAGTTGGTGATGACATTCAACCATCTCATCCTCTGTCGTCCCGTTCTCTTTCTGCCTTCAATCTTTCCCGGCATCAGGGTCTTTTCCAGTGAGTTGGCTGTTTGCATCAGGTGACCCAAGTATTGTAGCTTCAGCTTCAGCATCAGTCCTTCCAATGAATATTCAGGGTTAATTTCCTTTAAGATTGACTGGTTTGATATCCTTGCTATCCAAGGGACTCTAAAGAGTCTTCTCTAGAACCACAGTTCAAAAGCATCAATTCTATGGCACTCAGCCTTCTTTACGGTCCAACTCTCACATATGTATTGGAAAAACCATAGCTTTGACTATATGGACCTTTGTTGGCAAAGTGACATCTCAGGTTTTTAATACACCATCTAGGTTTGTCAAAGATTTTCTTCCAAGGAGCAAGCGTCTTAACTTCATGGCTGCAGTCACTGGCCACAGTGCCAGGAAAATAAAATTTGTCACTGTTTTTAATATTTACCTATCTATTTGCCATGAAGTGATGGGACCAGATGCCATGATCTTAGTTTTTTGAATGTTCAGTTTTAAGCTAGCTTTTTCACTCTCCTCTTTCACCTTAATCAAGAGGTTCTTTAGTTCCTCTTTGCTTTCTGCCATTAGGGTGATGTCATCTGCATATCTGAAGTTATTGATATTTCTCTCAGCAACCTTGATTCCAGCTTGGGATCCATCCAGCCAGGCATTTCACATAATATACTCTGCATATAAGTTAAATAAGCAGGGTGACAATATACAGCCTTGACATACTCCTTTCCCAATTTTGAATCAGTCCGTTGTTCCCTGTCTGGTTCTAATTGTTGCTTCTTAATCTGCAAACAGGTTTCTCAGGAGGCATGTAAGGTGCTCTGGTATTCCCATCTCTTTAAGAATTTTCCATAGTTTGTTGTGATCCATACAGTCAAAGACTCTTGCATAGTTAATAAAGCAGAAGTGAAGTCGCTCGGTCATGTCTGACTCTTTGCTACCCCATGGGCTGTAGCCTACCAGGTTCCTCTGTCCATGGGATTTTCCAGGCAAGAGTACTGGAGTGGGTTGCCATTTCCTTCTCCAGGGGATCTTCCTAACCCAGGGGTCGAACCCGGGTCTGCTACATTGCAAGCAGACGCTTTACCATCTGAGCCATCAGGAAAGTCTCCAATAAAGCAGAAGTAGATGTTTTTTCTGGAATTCCCTTGCTTTTTATATGATCCAAAGAATGTTGGCAATTTGATCTCTGGTTTCTCTGCCTTTACTAAATCCAGCTTGTACATCTGGAAGCTCTTGGTGCACATACAGTTGAAGCCTAGCTTGAAGAATTTTGAGCATTACCTTGCTAGTGTGTGAAATGAGTGCAATTGTGTGGTAGTTTGAACATTGTTTAGCCTTTCACTTCTTTGGGTTTGAAATGAAAACCGACCTGTGGCCTCTGCTGAGTTTTCCAAATTTGCTGGCATATTAAATGCAACACTTTAATAGGATCATCTTTTAGGATTTGAAATTGCTCAACTGAAATTCCGTCACCTCCACTAGCTTTGTTCATAGTGATTCTTCCTAACGCCCACTTGACTTAATACTCCAGGATGTCTGGCTCTAGGTGAGTGACCTCACCATAGTGGTTATCCACATCTTTAAGACCTTTTTTGTATAATTCTTCTGTGTATTCTTGTGTCCTTTTCTTAATCTCTTCTGTTTCTGTTAGATCTTTACCTTTTCCATCTTTTATTGTGCCCATCCTTGCATGAAATGTTCCCTTGATAACTCCAAATTTTCTTGAAGATATCTCTAGTCTTTCCTCTATTTCTTTGGATTGTTCACCTAAAAAGCACTTCCCTGGTGGCTTAGATGGTGAGGAATTTGCCTCCAATGCATGAGGCCTGGTTTTGATCCCTGGGTGGGGAACATTCCCCCGGAGAAGGGAATGGCGACCCACTCCAGTGTTCTTGCCTGGGAGACCCCATGGACAGAGGGGCCTGGCAGTTACTATGGGGTTTCAAAGAGTCAGATACGACTGAGCGACCAACATTTTCACTGTTAAATGTCATCCTTGATGTTCTTCAAGTATTCTTCTAAGTATGATTATTATAATCATCACAGTAATAATTATTATTTTATTTTAGTTTTAGTAGTTGGCTTGTTACCTCCCCAGTAAAGAAGTTCTGTTTAAAATTGAGTTAAGGTAAGAACTGGCAGGTGTACCCCAAAGGTCTACCGTCTGCATGATGAGGAAACACCCAGCCCTCTGTCACTGGTGAGACCTTATTTATCCCAGACCTGACACAACACCCGGCATCCAGTGCAATAGAATGAATGGAGTGCTAATTAAATGTAGAGTCATAATATGGATTAATTTATAAATTTTACAAAATACCTGGTGACTAATGTTTAATGTCGCAGCTGGGAAATGCTACCCTCAGGGCAGAAGGTGTCTTGGATGTTTAGACACTTGGTATTGGTTACAGAACCTGTAAAAAGTACTGAAAATTTACCATAGATGTCTATAAAACACACGTACTTCTTGTGATAAATAATAGTTTATGTATTTTATTGGCCAGGCAACTGACAGCAATAACTGTACGTAAACAACAGAGGGAAACTTTATTACTCAGACACAGAATAATAAAAAATTGCCCAGGGGACAGAAAAACAAATTTAAATAATGATATCCTGGCTTGGGAATTATTTCACAATTAAGGTAACTTCCATCAAGAGGGCAATATTTTCCAGCTGTTCTCTGCAACCTTTACCATTTGCATTATACCTTTTATTTTTGTTGAGTAATAGAAGCAGTTAATTCAAGGCATTATAGTCTATTCTGCATTTGGACACCATGCTTCTCAGGAGCTGATTTTTTTTTTATCCTGGCAGTTGAACAGGATGTAAATGTCATTTTAATAATAGGAACTGAAAATTTAATAATATGGTATTAAACTGTAAGTATAAGTGAATAATACTAGTCCTAGTTCACTTTATTTCCTACATAATTCTGGCCTATTAATGGAGTTTCTATTCAAAGGAATGCTGTATTACAAGAATTGTTTTTTAAGTAAAGAAGCTTTCAACAGAAACACAGAGAAAAAAGGAAGATACATGTTGAGATATATATGTGGATTGTTGGAGATACTCATGAATATTTATATGAGTTAAATTTTCTTTGCCTGAAATATTCAGAAAAAAACAGAGACATAAAGGTGATTTTCACTTAGAGCATTTCCATAATTCTTCGTGTACTTTGATGTGTGTGTGTATATGTATGTATATATATATATATTTATATACACCCAAGAATACGTTGGAAAAAGCAGAAACACTTGCATAAAGTGAAAGATAAAATGGAACAGAAGTGAGCCAGACATTAGACAGTGTTTAGAAGCAAAACTACTGCTAAGGGTTTGTGTTCATAACTGGGCTGAGTGGTCCTCTCCTGTTGCCAGAGAGAGATGTTATATGGTGATCAGAATTAACTCTGAAAAACAACAACCAAGTTTCTCTGTTTCATCTTGGCACATCGTTGGAAATATGGCTAGGTTATAAAAAACCCAATTAGCTATTTTATACTTTGAGTCAGAGAATTTTCACTGATACAAAGAAAAAATGATTATAAATTAAGAGAGATGTTTGATCAATTAAAATGAACAAATACGTTTGTTATACCCAGATGCTGTGTGTTTAAATCTTTCCCTAATAAAGCCTTGTTTATCTTTATTTCCTTCAGTGTTTCCAGTCAGTTTTCATTCCTCCTCTCTCCTGGGCACACCGCCTTTCGGCCACCCATTCACTCTCCAATCCGCCTTCATTGACAGCCGTGTGGGGCGCGCTCACCCTGACCCATCTGGGATGCAGAGAGAACCTTGTTTTCTTTAGATTGTTTGCAGCTTGGAAGTTGAACAGAAACAAACCCCAGTCTTCCTCTTTCACTGGCCCAAGCAAATTCCTTTTTTAAAGAAAAGTTATTTTAGCAATAAGGAATGGATGATTAAAGAAATGGGATACTCTTTAAAAAAATTTTTTTTTCCCCATAGACATACTTTATACGACAGCTGGTCCCTGGCATCCTGGTCTTGGGACTGTGGGCGTGGTGACTGTTTCTTGGCCAAAAGAGAGATTTCAAGCAACTATTTGCTTTATCCCCACCCATCACGCTCCAGAAGCTCGCCTGCCCGCAGGTGACTGACTTTTGTGTGAGTCAGCCTGTGGAAGCCCCAGGGGAAGTGCACACTGTATTTTTATTACAGGACTGTCCTTCTTAAAACAGAGCCTGGGAGCCTGTGGTTTGAGTTATAGAGCGTCTCATGAGAGCTCCTGGCATCTGGTTTGACAATCATGTTTTTAAAAATGTAGTCTTTTGTGAGCTCATGACCCAAAATGATACGGTAAATTGCTGCTGTGGAGACTCGCAGCTGCGTCAGTTGCAGTAGTTATGCAAGCAGGAGAAGAGAATAAATCAGAGTGAACACGGGAGAGATGGACACTGGAGAGGTGGACACTGGGGGGGTGGACACTGGGGCGGTGGATGAAAGGGAGCTTATCCATAGAAACCCTAAATGCTGTCTATCTGCATAGTAGGGGCTGAAGTGACAACCCCTCCAAAAGATGTGTGCATGTCTTCATTCCCAGACCTGTGACTGTGACCTTAATTGGAAAAAGGGTCCTTGCAGATGTGACCAAGTGAAGGATCTGGATATGAGGTCCTCCTGGATCATCGGGGTGGCCCTGAATCTAGTGGCAGGTGTCCTCATAGGAAATACGCAAGGGGGAGACCCAGGAGGAGAGGAGAGGCCCTGGGGCTGGGGGCAGAGGCTGCAGCGATGTGGCCAAAGCCAAGGACACCAGAGCCCACGGAAGCCGGAAGAGGCAAAGGGCGGGCCCTCCCCGGGCCTCTGGGGAGAGCACGGTGTCGCTGCCCCCCTGACCTCAGACTCGGGGCCTCCAGCACGGTGCCGCTGCCACCCTGGTCTCAGGCTCGGGGCCTCCAGCACGGTGCCGCTGCCCCCCTGGTCTCAGACTCGGGGCCTCCAGCACGGTGCCGCTGCCCCCCTGGTCTCAGGCTCGGGGCCTCCAGCACGGTGCCGCTGCCCCCCTGGTCTCAGGCTCGGGGCCTCCAGAACTGACAGAGGACGTGTTTCTGTTGTTTAAGCCGCCAGGGTTTGATGACTTGTTATGGCAGCTACTGGGAACTAGTTTATTTATTCATCTATCCACCTGCTTACCTGTATCACCTAATATCTATCTAAATATCAACACTTATGCTTGCACGGTAGTCTCATTTTTTGTTGATTCATTCTCATTTCTTTAATTACCTGTATTTAATTATTCCATGAGCACTAAAAATAGTTTACCTATTAACTGAAAAACTCATAAATTCTAATCCTTCTCAGTTTGAGAGGTGGTATGCTGTCTCTCTATTCCATTTTATTACACATATGCACATGTTAAATTTATACATACATGGTAAAAAAAAAAACTTCATTTTCCATCCGTGCCACCTGTGGGTACTTTCTAATGTTGTCTGTGTTAGAGCTCAGGCCTCAGAGAAAAGGACACCACATGCCTTAGGTTCCTTTGCCTCCTACTGATCACAATTTTCAGGTATGTTCTTTTGACTTAAATTAAAAATGTCTGAACATGTGTTAAGACAGTAACAAAACCAGGAAACTGAAACCACCCAGTAAACCTGACTCTCCTCCATTTCCCCTTGTTTCAGTCGGCGACGCAGGGACCCGCCTAGTCCCCATGTCAGCACCCAGCAGGCCCTCGTCCCCCTCGGGGGGCGCTTCCCACCCCTTCGATGCCCCCGCCTGTCTCTCTTCGCCTCCACGGCGCCCGCTTCTGCATGCGTTTCCCCAGCCTCCCCGACTCCCTGCCTCCCCGCCACCATCACACACGTGCACACCCGCCCCACTCATGAGCACGCACGGGCACACACGTTTTCAGGTGAGCCTGGGCTGCCAGCCACAGGGCCCAGCCGTGCTGGCCGGGCCAGCGCCCCAGTGGGCGCCCTGAAAGGACCCTCGAGCCCAGCAGGCCTCCTAAAGGACCTTCTGGAAGAAGCCGTGGCTGCTCTTCTCATGGGGCCGCGTCTGAAAGGGTGAGAGAGGCTGGAACTTCCTGCGCCATTTCACGCCCCTGCCAGCAGGAGAGGGCTGGACCCAGACGGGGGCCAAATGCAGAGGGAGGCGGGAAGAGCGCCCCCGACCCAGAGGTCCCAGGGTGGAGCCGGCCCCTCCCAGCTCTGCGTGTCCCTCCACTGCGGCCCGCCTCATCTTTGGCTGATTGAGCGAGAATTTCACACTTTCCAGTTGAAGCTGTCCCACGAATCTGGCCGCTGCCCTGACGGACATCCTTCCCCTGGTTCCCATGATCCTTGGCAGGCCCGGCCCTTCACGCCGATTTCCCTGTCTCTGATCCCAGCATCACCTGCAGCCTCGCGTCCCCTGCAGGCGGTCTCACTCAGTCCTTGGGGGCTCCTGGGGCAAAAGGCCGTTCTACCCTCAGGCCTCCCTGGTTTATCCAGTCGCCAGAAATGCTTACTGAGCACCTGTTTCCTGAGCACTGGAGACTTAGCCTCGAACCAGCGGGCAAAAGTTGCTGCCTCCATGGGGCTTGTATTGTAGGAGGGGTGAGGGGGGAGGGCAGAGCATAACTAAAGCTAAAGAGATGCAAAATATGTGCAGACACGGAAGCTTCGAGGTACCAAGGGACCTGAATGCACTCAAAGGAAATGGACACGTGTGCTTAAAACACCATACAGGACTGGTCACTGCAGCAGCGTTGATGATTTGTTGTTGTTTAGTTGCTCAGGCTCCTTGGTGAGCACGCGGACTGTGGTCTGCCAGGTTCCCCTGCCCTTGGAGACAGTTCAGAGGAAGGACGGGCAGGGGGATGGCTCCAAGGTCTCTCCTTAGTTACCATCCACGTCAGTCCATCCAAGGACCGTTGGGCTGTTTCTGCCAAAGACAAAGGAGGATGGAGTCCAGGTGCCAGGTGAATGCACCCGGAAGTTCTTTTCCACAACTCTCTTCATGCTTGGCTTGGAAGCAAAGAATTCTAAGGCTGCCCCGTGAGTTATTGTGGTGGCCACTAAATTTTTCTTGGACAAGACCCACTGGGCCAAGTCTTGGATAACTATCAGGAACAACACCAGAAAGGTCAAGAAGAAATCCCTCTGTACTTTTGGGCATCAGGTTGACCTTCTTCCAGCCGTACCTTGCTGCCGCTGCTCCTTGAGGAGCCACCCTTCAGCGAAGTGACAACTTCCTTTGCCATCAAGACCCGTGAGCCGGGGATGGTCAGCCGGGATTGTCCCCTCTCCTCCCCAGCTTAGCCCGCCATGCCGGTCACTCCTGCGTGTGTGGGTGGCCACACAGACTGCAAGGGAGCTGTGTGTCCCTGGAGACTGGGGCACTGGGAGCCTGAAGCCCTTTCCCAGCCAATCCCATCCATGAAAAGCCTCCACGTCTTTCTCAACGATTGGAGTATTTTCAGTGGATCCATGCTCTTTGTCCAAAATTGTACTGCAGTTTCCTTGGTTCTCTGTTCCTCTGATTTATTGCCTCTGGTCCTTGGGGCTGCACACCTGTTCTCTGAGATTCACCAGAAAGTCTCCAGGGCTTGACCAGGATTACACATGTGCACTTGCACGCCGGAGCGGCCTGGCCCACTTAGGGGACAGCCATCCACGTTTGAGGCCTGAATTCGTGTCCAATCTTAGGTGTGTTTTTAACGGGGAAGGGTGGCTGGCCGAGTCCAGGAAGATTTGGGCAAGCAGTCATCAGAGAATAAGAGCAATGGTAGCTAACAAATGCCGAGCATGTGCTATGTGTGAAGTGTGTGAGACGGTTTTCACCTAAATCGCTTGGCGATCCAGGTCGACAGCATGGACATTTGAGCATTCAGTTCCTGCTGCAGGGTTCCAGACTCGAGAGTGACTGTGGATTCCAGTGGGAGTCCAGTGACGCTGGAGCTTCAGGTCTGCACATCTTGCCCATAAGCGAAGGCCACATGTTCGTTGCTGGTACATATTGATCTGAAAACCACCACGACCAGAAGTGGGCAGGTCCCAAATATGTACACCTCTCCACGTTGAAAAGAAAGGTGGTGGAGGCTGTCTCCGTGCCGTCTTGACCTGCCCACCTGCCCCCGGAATTCCTGCTTCTCCTGGTTCACTGCTTCTTTCTTCAGGAGAGAACACGCTTCTCCAGGGGCCTCCATGAACACTTGCAGACGTTCCACGGGTCTCAGTAACAGGCTGGGGCTTCTTTTTTAATACTCACAGGTAGCTGGGGCTTGGAGAGCTTTCAAAGCCCCTGATTTCGCCGGCAGACTGGGGAAGAAGGGGCCAGGGAGGGGGGAAATGGCGTGTGACCAGGCTGAGCCCCGTGTGTTGGCTTTGGATGACAGTGTACCCTCGCTCCAAGGACCTTAATTGGCTGATAGAGCGACTGCTTCAGCCAAGGGTCCAATTAATACCCAACATTTTAGGGTGGGTTTTCCAACCCCAGTTAGATGAGTTTCTTGGCATAAAAGGGCTAACTGCTGTAAATGCAATTCATTTCCTTGACTCTGCACCCGCTCTGTAATGAAAGGGTATCACTCTGTCTGGTTAATTCCAGACAAGGTTCTGTGAGCAGATGGGGAATTTGGATTTTCGAATTTGAAAAAAAAAAAGCCTAAGTGAGTGTGAGTTTTATGCAGTTACCTTGATACTTCTTCCATCTCATGGAAAACGTACTAAGTTTCAACATCGCAGAAGGTGGACTGGGAGAGCGGAGCCTGGGGGGCTGAGGCCTGCCCTGCTTCCATTGGTGGTCAGTCCGGGGAGCATGCCCTGAGCCAGGAAACCCTGACTCTGTCCCTGGCGTGGAAGGTGCCCTCGGACGGTCAGCGCTGTGGTCACTGCCGGGAGGAGGCGGCTCACTCCAGAACAACAGCCGGGGACAGACTGGAAGCTGCCACTTCTTAGTTGTGAGCACTTAAGTCGCTTGATCTGCTCCATAAAGTTGGGGTGATAATACTGCCTCTTGTTTCAAGGCTGACATCAAAGAACACACGTGGGAGTTCAAGGACAGTCAGTGTTGGCTCCCTGCCCCTCCCTCTCCCAGGGAGCTGCCACGGTCAGCTTGACCTGCGGGCTCTGATGCTTCATGCTGTCTTGGGGAACCACAAACAGTGCCATGCTCAGCTCCAAATACCAGTCCCACAGAGCAAACTGCAGAAAACAAGCTTGTGAGACAGCGCTGCCCCCAACCACCTCCTGAGCATCCAAGCAGACGTGCTGTCCTGCGGCCTGAATTCCAGTGTCTCCACTTACCCTGCATTCTGCAGGCTGCCCGCTCACCACTGCTCTTTGCAAGGCCCGCCCGGACTTCCTGCCCTCTTTCTCTCGTTTACCAGGTGGAACGAAGCCTGTTGTCAAAACTTCCTTCGCCTCGGTTCACTCCGGCCTGACTTTGCGAGATGCGAGTGCCTTTATTCAGGCTGCAGGAAAGAGCGCTAAACCAGATGTCAGGGGCCTGGGTTTCTGGAAGCCATTCCACTTCTCTCCGATGAGACGTGTGACGTGTGAAGAGGCGGCCCTGGCAGGAAGCCAGCCCTGCTGTGCACGAGGGCCCACTCACGCCTGGCCCCGGGCGCCCCGCCTCGGTCTGCAGGGCCGGCTGCGCTTCCCCGGGCTCGCCGGCTCCCCCAGTGTGTCTGCTGTGGCTCATTCGGTAGCTGAGGGCTCCTCATTACAGGGAACCCACAAAGCGCTGGAGTTCGTCAAGTGGTCCAGCGCAGGCCAGTGTCATTCTGTTTAGAAAAGGAAGCAAGTCCACTCAAGGCCCCTTCCCTTTCTTCCTGACTTCTGCAATGGTCCCTGAGGACAGGAAGCGGGCCGCTCCGCAGCAGTCCCCACAGACCTGGCCTTTCTTGGGGGGCTCCCCCAGCTGAGGGCGGCCAGTGGGCGCCCACCCGGGCGTCGGGCCGCGTCTCTGCCTCCTCCCCTCCTTGCCTCCTCCAGCCAGCGATGCTCCTGGGGAGGAAGGCGCATTCTACTCTGGTCCCCAGATGCTGCTCTTTGGAAAATGGAGCCAAGGGGAACGAAAGGCGTTTATTCGTGTCTTTGTGCGTTTCCTCGACGATTCTTTGTTGAGCATCTGCTGTGTGACGGGCACTGGTGGGTTGAGACGGGGGCGAAGGGCAGGCAGGGACAGGCCAACGGAGCCACAGCTGTGCTGTAAATGGTCTTGTTTGTTGGGATGAGTGCAGGGCCCCCAAGACGCTCCCAGGGAGGCGGAGGACCCCTCCAAGAGGGAGAAGGGCCTCAGTACAGACCTGAAGGGGGAAGGGAGCCACCCTTCATCGGGTGGGTGGGCAGGAATGGTGAGCGGAGGAGATGACCGGTGGGAACTCAGGCAGGTAGAGAACTCCGGGGCGCCTAGGGGACTTCGGAGGCCGTGGAGGAGTCCGACTCAGGGCTGGCCAGGGCCCCGGCCTGCTGAGGGCCTCTGAGGTAAGGACTGAGTGCTGGGCTCTGGGGCAGCGGCTTCCAGCATCCAAGGAGACACCTTTTCCTCAGCCACTGCTGTCTCCAGCAGCGTGTGAGGCATGAGGCTTCCTCGATGGCCTCGTTGAAGGTGTGGAGTAGGCCCTATCCCATCCTTAGGAGAGAATGGCTGTGAGACCAGAGTGACGGGGACCGCAGGGAGCTCCCAGCCAACCAGATGCCGCTGGGGCCACTGCAGAGCTTCCGAGAGACGCGGCCTGGAACCCAGGTCTCACAGGCACGGTGAGGAAATCCTACGGCCAAACCTCTCTCTGCGTGCGGGCGAGGAGGCTGTGGGCCAGTCTACCTGAAGCTTCTAGGCTTTCTTTCTTAGCACTATCCCAGGGGCACCTCTCACCCCCAGCCAGTTTCCAGTCGTGCTAGAGGGGCGGGCGGTCAGTTTGCCTGGGGTCAGGGGGCCAATGCCAGCTTATCAGCACTGAACTGCGAGAGCTCTGGGTAAACCGTGTGAACCCGGCACCCCAAGAATGTTGACGCTGTGCCAAGACTTCTGTGTTGTAGGCTCACAATTACTTTTTAAAGCAGTGCTTTGAGGTAAATATTATTATTTCAATTTCAGAGAATTCCAAAATAAGAGATGAAATGTGTTTCCCAAGGCCTCTTATCTAGGGAAGTGACAGAGCCTGCATTTCAGTCGGGTTGCCTGGTTTAAATCGAGCCCATTAGTTATCTGTTGCTGCACACTCACCAGCTTAAACCAACACTAAAGGGCGATTAACTCACACGTGCTGAAAATCAGGACTTCAGGAGCATCTCAGAGTGTGGTTCTGGCTCAGGGTCTCTCGTGGGGTCACGGGCCAAGTGTCGCTGGGGTGACATCGTCCGGACACTGGCCTGGGATGTCGGGAGGATGGAGGACCCGCTTCCAGATGGCACTTGCACGGCCATTGGCAGGGGCTTCAGTCCAGGTCCTCTCCAGGACCTCCCCCCGAGGTCCTCCCGATGCAGGCCAGTGGCCTTGCGGGGAGTGGTCCCCAAGAGAGCAAAGAGGAAGCCACAGTCTGTGTGATATCCAGCCTCAGGGATCGCAACCTGGTGGCTCTGTAATATCCTGTTGGCTGTACCATCAGCCCTGCTCCTCTGAGAGGCAGGCACCACGCAGGTGAACACAGTGGGTGGGCGGGAGGGCGGCCCTGGGGACCAGCTGGCCCCTCGGACTCGGTGTGCGTCTCTCTGTCCAAAGCTGCCAGGAGCCTCCACCCCGGGTGCGCCTCGGAAGGGAGACTGCAGGACAAGACGTGAAACACGCACACACATGAGCGTGCACATTCATGAGTATCCATTATACTGTAAATGCCACTGTTCGTAAACCCAAATGAGGGAACTTTTAAAATAATCACCCTCTTGGTGGGCTGTGTGTTATCTTGATGTTTATCTTAATGTTTCCATTACATCAATATTTTTATTTTGATTATTAATTATGGATGATCACACCAGATTTTTAAAAATTTTATAATATGAACCCATACCAAACTGTTATAATTAGGAGGTTATTGTTAAAGCCATCTTTAATGTATACATATCAAAGCCTATATGATGACTCCTACTTGGAATTCTTGGGACCTCACAGGAAGCAGTCTGTCTAGATGTTTCAGAAGGCAAGCTGTATGCTGTTACTGACACAATTATATGTAGAATTACACACCCCATTTTAAGTACAAACGCGTGCCATTACCTGGAAGTCAAATCAGGGGAAGATAAGAGCTGGAGAAACCACGGATGACAACCACAAGACGCTGGGCGGCAGAGAAGTGGGGAAGGCTTGCAGTGAATTTTACGGGGTCTTAGCCCCGAGTCGCCGGGTGGTCCACGACAATTTAAAGGGGTGGGAAAGCCAAACGTTCTGAACCTTAGTTACCTCATTTGGAAAACAGAGGAAGGTTGTGACACTATGCTTTCAACTCCACAGCGCCCTTGGAGGAAGCAAAGATGAGAGACCTTACGAGAACAGGCTAGGGAGCTGGCATGTCCCGGCGCAGACGCAGGTGCTGGCTGCGGGCATGTCTCAGGCAGCATCGTGGAGGCGCCCCAGGACCGCGCCCGACGCTGCTCTGCAACCCCGGGGCCCTGCTTGGAGCCACACACCTCGCTTCCGTTGGCAGACCCTAGGCCCCCGTGTTTCCCCCGTGCCATCCGGCAGGGCAGGCTCTGTGGGGGGCATGGGCTGGGCTCTCGTGCCCGGAGGGGAGCTCGGGTGGGCTGGTGTGCCGGAGGCCCCTCACCTGGGGCTGGCATCCACTAGGCCAGCGTCAGGACACAGAGGCGCCCAAGGAAGCAGGTCCAGAGGGCCCCAGGCGGGAAAGGGAGCGTTCACGTAAACCCATCACGCTGTTCTCACGTCCTTGCCGCGCTAGCTGGCCAAAGCCAGGAGGGGAGTTTTGTTTCATCGACAAACATCTCTTTCTCACTCCTTTTCATATAAAACTATCCCCAACCTGCCCGAACTGTCTGGAAGCCATTCGTGTGTCAACAGCAGGCAGTTTTATGGGGACGGCGGGAGCAAATTCCCCGCTTGGACTCTGGGCGGAAAATGAGCTGCTGCTAACAACGCCCAACTTAGAGCCCCAAGGCCCCCCAGGTGTTGTGTCTCAGACCCAGCTTCTGCTCCAGTCCAAAGGCTGGGTGCGGGCAGAGGGGTAACGGCCCTGGACTGCAGCATCTGCCAGTCTCCATGCTGTAAGTGCTCACGGCCAGGATCAGGGCACTGACGCGTTGGCACGTTGCGCAGCTGGTAAGAGAGGCGGGGCGTGTGCGAGCCCACTCCCGGACCCCGCTGGGCCTAGATTTACGCGTCAGCTGCGTCCTTTGCATCTTTACCTGGAGGCAGACCAGGCATCTCACATCCAGCAGGTGCAGAACTGCGTTCGCGGTCTGTCTGTCTCACACCCAGCCCGCCTCTGCCAGGGTGCCCCTGTGAGTGCATGCCCGGCACCAGACGCAAGCCAGCCCCCAGACCCCAGGTCACCCTCACGTCCCGTCCCCCCCGTCCTCCTCACCACCACACCCGGCCAGCCCCAAGGCCTGCTCATCGCACTTCCGGAACATTCACAGTCTGATTACTTCTCCCCAGACTCTGTCATCACTGTTAGTCTGCTGGGTGACTGTAAAAGGCCAAGTGGTTTTCCGCTTCTGCCCACGCATACCCTCGGCCCACTTCCTTGTATTGAGCAGAGAGATCTCTGAAAAAGGCAAATCTGAGAACATCGTTTCTTTAAGCCCTTCGCGACCTCTGGAGCTCAGGATAATAATCAGGGTCCTTAGCATGGCCTGAGGGCACTTGGCCTCCTGCTGCACCCTAGGCGTAGTTCCGGGCTGCTCTGGCCCCGGGTCCCTTGCGCTGCCTGTCCTCTAGGGTGCTCAAACTCGCTGAGTTCTTTTCCAGTTCAGACCTTTGCACAAAGAGCTCTCTCCTTGAGTTACTTGGTCTGACCCATTCCTCATTCTTCAATCTCAGCTGAAGCCTTTTAGAAAGGTCGTCTCAGACCTCTCTCCTTTTTTATCTTCCATAACGTCCTGCTTTCGGTTTGCAGGCCCCTCAGCCGTGTAGGAAGGCCCTGCTTGCCTCACATCCAAGATGACCGGTGGTGTTCTCAAACTTCACGGTTTTTGACAACCCAGTATAGGGGCATCCCATTGCGAGTTGAGTTTGCATATCTTGGGTTACTAATAAACTTGGGGCATTTAAAATGCTTGTTGCCAATTTAGATCCTCTGTTGTATGCAATGACTGTTTAAGTTGGTTGTCCATTTTTCTATTCAGTTATCTGATTCTTGTTAATTATTAGTAGGAGCACTTTACATGTGATGGATTCCAGAGTTTGTGAGTGATACATACTGCACGTATGTTCTGCTATTCTTTGCCTTGTTTTCTTACTCTTTTAAAGATGCCATTTGGCAAAAACTTTTGAATTTATCGAGTATTTAATTTCTAGTACTATTTGCATTCTTTAGAATTTATGTTTATAGGGGCCTTTTGAGCCAAACTCCCCCCAAAATTAAAATATTTTCTCTCGATTCCTGAAAAAATTAATTGATTATGTATAGAATTTAAGGAGGATTCTTCCTTTAGTATATTGGAAAAAATGTTACTCTTTCTAGGCTTTCATTACTGCTGATAAGAAGTCAGCCTTTAACATAATTCCTTTCTTTTAAAGGTTTCTATCTTTTCTTCCTGACTTGCATGTAAAATCTTTGTCTGTTATATTCTTCAGTTTTATGATGATATATCTATCTTTGATTTTCTTTGTCTGTCCTACAGGGAATTAACTGGGCTTCCTTAATCTGAGAACTTGAGTCTTTTGACAAGTCTGGGAGATTTTCATTCATTCTTTTTTGAATGTTGCATCTTCTCCATCAAGTTTCTTATTTCCTACTAGTCTCCAGTTACATAAATGACAACTTTTCATTCCCTCGTCCATTTCTTTTTGTCTCTTGGTTGCATTTTAAATAATTTCTTCATACTTATATTCCAGCTTAGAAATTTTCTTGTTGATTGAGCTTAATCTGCTGTTTAAGATATTTAATGCCTTTTAAAACTTAATCATTATTATTTTTATTTCTAGAAGTTCTAGTTTACAAATTTGGTCCTCATTAAAAACAAGCTTGATCATTTAAAAAAGTTTAAATGATTAAGATAGTGATTAAAAGATTAAGATACTTATTTTATATTGTTTGATAATTTGTATATTTAAAATCTTTATTCTGAGTGGGTATCTATCATCTATTTATCATTTATAAATCTACCTATCTGTCTAATTATCTATCAATCAATATCAATCTAATATCTATCTCTATCATCTATCTGTTATCTATTATTTTTATTATCTATCACTATTGATTATCTATTATCTCTGTTATCTATTGCTATCAATTATCTCTTATCTGTCCATTATCTACCTATCACTGTCAATTATCTGGCCATTTTCTCTCTATCTCTATGACACCAAGATGTCCCACCGTGTTCCTCTTCAAGGGAGGAGCTGATGCCCAGCATGTGGAGGCATCAGGTCGGCCAGAATCCTCTGAGTGCAAAGCCCTGCCTCAGCTGTGGTCCCGGAGGCAGCGTGAGGGTGTCAGGCCTGGTGCAGGACGGCCCTCGTAGACCCGAGTCTCACAATGCTGCCTGTTGTGTTTGCAGGGTGGGTTGTGTCAGAGCTATAGCAAGTTCAACTCTCCTGTTCAGTCTTGCTTTTTCTCCCTCCGCTTCATAGTTGCTGATCCTACAAGTATCTGTATCACACATCTGGCTTGGCGACTGCTTTCAAAAAGCCCAATGGACAATGTTTGCTGGTGCGTGAGTGTCAGTGTGTGTGTGTGTGCATTTGTGTAACTGTGTGCACATGTATAAATGTGTGAGCAAGCGTGTTACTGTGTGTGTTTGCAACCGTGTGTGTGTGTGCATGTGTGAATGAAAATAGAGAAGCAAATTTAAATCCACAGAATTACATCTTCAGTGAACCAGCCTGGCTGTAAGATCCATTTTATTTTCATCGTCAAAATGTGTCCTCTTAATGTGCTTAGACTTACACCCATTAAATCTTTGGAAAAGGCTGATTAACTTTTGTTATCAGCCATTTGTTTAAATGTTGAATCAGATTAGTTAAATTCATAATTTTATATTTAATAGTTATTAATAATTTAGCTTCTTATGTAATAGTTAAGTCTATGAGAAGAGTGTGCAAAAATATTTAGAGAAGTGTTGTGTTTAGAAATAGTCAATGGACAAGAAAATACAAACTATGGTGAGTGTCTTTTCCTCTCCACATATGAATACTGCTCAGATACTGAAGAATTTTTATCATAAAACAGATTGGTCAGTTGAATAGCCAACTAATCTCTTTATAGGTAAAAGAATCTTATTTATTGGATATAGAATACACTGTGGTTTCTGTTTATCCAAGGGATTGCTTTCTCAATTGACACATTTTTGTGGATCTGACTAATCTTCAGGTTCTGCTTGTCTTTTTCCCACATAGCTCATGGCTGAAGCTGTCATTCCTTTATTTTTTCCATTACTTATTATCTGTGACCATTTTTCAATTCCACAAGAGAACAGATGAAGTCCCTGTAATCTTGTGAAGCCATTTGGCCTGGAGGATGCTCCTCGGCTTTGCGCCGATAACAGAGGCCCCAGGGATGATGTTTAGTGAGTCCAAAGTGAGCAACTTTAACTTTTACTGCTTAATTTAGGCTCAATTCTTCAGAGTTGGCCCAATTTTAGTCCCAGGATAAAGTTTATAAAAAGGAATTTCCATGTCCAAGGAAGAACCAAGACTGCTGAGAGGTTTTATATATATATAGTATGAAAACCGAAAAGGGGATGGGGGGAATCGATCCTAAACTGACTTTATTAACTGTCGACAATGACTTCAGAATAGTTAACAGGCCTCCTACACATCAGCCTGCACCAGGAAGCTGAGCCCTTCCGGGAACCAGTCTGCAGCCCAGCCTGGCCCGAGGCTCGGTGAGAAAATCCAGCAGCGGAGGTGATTCTCCCCTTCCCCTCTTTCTCCCTCTTTTTCGTCCCTCCTTGCCCACCTTCTCTTCAGGCTGTGGAAGATTTATTGCCTTTCAGTACTCACAGATGATGTTTTCATAGGCTGTAATGAGGTCCCAGCAGTTTCTAACAATAACAGGACATTGCCGTGCCTAAGATATATTATGTGTTTTCCCTCATCTTTCTCCCTTGAATGAAATGCTTACAAGTGCGTTAGCCCCCAATTCCCTTCCCTTTACTGTGATAAATGGTCCAGTTACTTAATAGGGCTAAATGCTTCGCTATGCCTTTTATAATACCCCTTCGATTTTGAATAGAATCCTTCAAAGAAGAGCCCGCGAGTGCTTTGAAGGTGCTTCCCGGAGGGTCAAGTGAGCACAGGAGAAGCACCCGCCGCTCTGGCCAGCCCTGCATCCATCCCGGTGGGGATTCCCGGACATTCCCTGAGCCTCATGGAGAGCTGGGCAGCGCGGACCCGCCCCGTCCCTCCGGTTCTGATTCTGGCCCCTCGTGAGCCTGGCCTGAGCAAGGACGTGCCCCTCCGCCCAGCTGGCTAGAGAGGTGGCAGCTCGGGCTGCCCGACCAGGAGGTAGGTTTTAGGAGGAGAGCCCTGGCCCTGATCTCCCCTCATTGGCTTCTGTGGCGACAGGGTCGGGAGCCAAGTCTAGAGGCGTTTATCTCCTTAAAGGTCAGCCAGATTAGAGTGAGAAGAAAGAAAGGCATCACACATGTCCGTGACGCCTTACAGTGACGTGTGTCTGTGCTGGGACACCGGGCACGCTGGCAAACCCAGGGAGGTCAGGGCTCCAAGGGGGACGCTCGCCGAGGCCCTGGGGCTCTGGCTCTGCTCGGGGCCGGGCTCGTGGGTGGGTGGCTCGCACTCTGCCCTGAAATCAGCGAGTGACAAGTGAACGGGCTGGGCCTCCAAGCCAGAGAAGAAGCCAGCATGAAGAACCATTCTGGGAAATGCAGGACCCATCTGTTCTCAGACCCTGGGTGCCCCAAGAGGCCGGCTGGACACAAGCCTCAGGTCAGCACCCCCGGGGTCACAGCCCGGTGGCCCGCAGTCTCCCCCTGTCCAGGTGTCCACTCTGCAGTCTCTCCTTCACCCCTCACGCTCTGGTCTTGATTTCTGCTCACCGGTTCTCTTCAGAGATGACCTGGAGATAGTCTTGAAGCCTGTCCTTGCTGGATTCCCGGGGGAGAGAAACCACTGAGCTACCCTCCCCGGTCTGCACCAGCTCTGGCTCCCCGGCCTGTCTCCCAGGAACCACCTCCGCGTTTCACACATCGCGCCTGGACGCGCGGTGCAGGCGGGAGCTGGCGCAGCAGGCCGGTCGTCGGCCCCACGCAGGGCCCACGTCCCATCCTCAGGGTCCAGCGCCCGGGTCCTACCTGGGAGGGGTCTCCTCCCACCCGCGAGCGGGGGGTCCCCTGAGGATGCTGTCTGTAGGCAGCTCCCCGGGCTCCATGCTACTTAGGTGTTGTCTGTCCGTTTTTCCGGAACAAGCCATTTGTCCCCAAAAAGGATCAAATGGAAAACATTATAAATACTCCAAATGGTGGAAACAGGAAGTGGGACGCAAGCGATGTAGCTATTCACAGAAGACACACTGTCATTTCTCCCCCGTAAATACATACTCTGCTCGTTCCCAGAAGCAGGCCTGCCTCAACCTGCAGAACGGCCTCCGCGCCCGTGGGACGCTGTGGAGGGCCGCTCCCAGAGCCGTGCGCGGGTCGTGGGGTGTGAGTGCCACGGCTGCAGGGCCCCTTCCACGCAAGTTACTGAGGACCTTAAAGGGCTTGTCTTTGTGTACAGTTTATCTACAGATATTCACCTACAGATGAGAATCCACCTACAGCGCAAGAGACACAGGAGACACGGGTTCAGCCCCCGGGTTGGGAAGGTCCCCTGGAGAAGGGCATGGCAAACCCACTGCAGAATTCATGCCTGGGAAATCCCACGGACAGAGGAGCCTGGAGGGGTACAGTCCAGGGGGTTGAGAGTCAGACACAGCAGAGAGATTATGCACACACGTGCATTCATCATATTAGAAATTAACATTGAGCAAATTGAAAAATACTTATTAATTCATATAAAAATAAAAATGGTTCATCGGTTACATCTTGACATAAAAACCATGGTTTTGTGAAAATGGCTATATTTTCCAAGGTGAAAAAATTAGTGAGCAGGGTGGCGTTGTTTTCATTTTTGCAAATTTCCTTTCTTTTTGGCTTAGTAGAAAACTGTTGGCATCTATTATTTGCTTTGCATTTAATCTATTGCAATACATTGTTTTGATTCAAATGTATCAAGAGAAAAAGTCCAAGGAGAAAACTCTGAACTCACAAAGATGTAGTTGCATAAGGAAGAAAATTTTAGTAGACTTTTGGATAAGTATGATTATTCTTTGACTTTTTTAAAAAATTAAATAACAGTTTTTGAAAGTTAGTTGTAATGTAGACTCTGAAAAAATATCAATCAACTTTTGGATCCAGGTTAGCATAAAATCCTTTTTTATATTTTGTATTTTAAATGGATCTTTTTCACCCAAAAATGATTTTTATTTGTTTGCTTATTTTAAATGTGGTAAAATATACATGACATAAAATTTACCATCTTAACCATTTTAAAGTGTACAGTTCAGTGGTTTTAAGTCCATTCCCCTGCTGTGTAGTCATCACAGCCTCCATCTCTGGGACTCCTCATCATGCAAACCTGGAACTCCGCCTCCGTTTAATGATCCCTCCCCTGCCCTGCCCCCCGCCAAGGACAGTCACCACTCTGCTTTCCATTTCTATCATTTGGTTGTGTCAGGCACCTTCTGTAAGTGAAACCAAGCTGCATGCGTCCTGCTGTGACCGGCTTGGTTCACTGAGCATCGTGTCCTCAAGGACCACGCATGTCATAGTAGCAGGTGTTAGCATTACCTTCCTTTTTATGACTGAATAATAGTGCATTGAATGAACTGACCACATCCTCTTTCGATGAACTTTTGGGTTGTTTGCACTTTTTGGTTATTGCGAATAATGCTACTATGAACATGAGTGGACCAATATGTTTTTGAGACCCTGATTTCAATTCTTTTGGTTATATAATCAAAAGTGGAATTGCTGGATTGTTTGGTAATTCTATTTTTAATTTTTTGAGGAACTGTTTTCCATAGCAACCATACCATCTTACATTCTTACCAAGTGTGTACAAGGGTTCCAATTTCTCTGCATCCTCACCAACACTTGTTAGCTTTTGTTTCTGACAACTTATTAGTCCAGGGTCTCCATCCTCCAGAGAAGGAGAACTAATTGGATGTGTGTGTGTATCTGTGTGTATACACACATAATGTTTGTCTATGTTTATGTTTATACATGCTTATATCTATTTATTGTAAGGAACTGGTCTGTGTGATTATGGAAGTTACCAAATGTCTAGATCTTCTGTCAGCAAGACTGAAGCCCAGGGGAACCGGAGCTTTAGCCCCAGTCCTAAGGCTAGCAGGCTTCCGTAGTGGCTCAGCTGGCAAAGAATCTGCCTGCCATGCAGGAGTCCAGGGTTTGATCCCTGGGTCAGGAAGATCCCCTGGAGGAGGAAATGGCAACCCACTCCAGTATTCTTGCCTGGAGAATCCCATGGACAGAGGGGAATCCATGGAGTCGCAAAGAGTCAGACATGACTGAGTGACTGAACTCTCACTCAAGGCTAGCAGGAGATAGACCCAGAAAAAGCAGAGGTTCAAGTCTGAGTCAGAGGTCAGGAAGAGACTGTCTCTCGGGGGGAGGTCGTCAGGCAGGAGGGGTCTGCTCTCACTCACTCTTTGTGGTCTAGCTGGGCTGTCAGCCCATTGGATGAGGCTCACTCACATCAGAGAATACAATCCCTTTGACTCAGCCTTCTATTCAAATGTTCATTTCCCCCAGAAACACCCCCATAGACACACCCAGAATAGTGTTTGACCAAATGTCTGGGCCCCTCAGGCTGACACATGAGACTAGTCATCGCAGCAGCCAATATGAGATGAGAGCTCGCTCGGGTTTCCCTAAGGATCAGTGGGCCATCTTTCCACGTGCTTATATCGGCCCACTGTTTATCTTCTTTGAAGAAATGTCTATTCAAACCCTTTCCTCATTTTAAACTCAGGTCATCCGTTGCTTATTGTTGAGTTGTGGGAGTTTTGTATGTTCCGGATACTAACCTCTTATCAGGCTCAAGTCTCCTGCATGTTGTAGCAGGTGTTATAGTTTCCCTTCCTTTTTAAGGCTGGTCATTATGGCCTTGTATAGATGGACCACATTGTGCTTATCCATCATCCATCAGTGGACACTTTGGTTGCTTCTGTCCCTTGGCGCCTGAGAACACTGCTGCAATGTACGTGGGTGTGCAAATACCTGCTGGAGACTCTGCTTCAGTTCTTTTGGAAAGATACCCAGAAGTGGAATTATTGGATCATACGCTAATTCTATTTTTAATTTAGTGCCTTACTATTTTCCATAGTGGCTGCACCATTTTACAATCCCACCACCAACAGAACACAAGGATTCCAATTTCTCTACACCCTTGCCAACACTTTTTTTTTCCTTTTTTTTTTTTAAATAGTAGCCATCTTAATGGGTATGAAGTAATACTTCACTGTGGTTTTCATTTTTGTTGCTGTAATGATTAGTAATGTTGAACCTCTTTTCATGTGCTTTTGACTATCTCTATATCTTCTTCTTGGCCCATTTTTTTCAATCGAGTTGTTTGATTTTTGTTGTTGAGTTGCAGGAGTTTTTATCTTCTTGTGAACCTCTTCTCATTTATATGATTTGCAAATATTTTCTTTCATTTCATAGGTTTCCTTTTCACTCTGTTGATGGTGTCTTTTGATGCACAGAAGTTTTTAATTTTGATACAGTCCAATTTGTCTATTTTTACTTTTGTTGCCGGTGGTTTTGGTATTGTGTTCACGAGGTTCCTGCCAAACCAATGTCATGAAACTTTCCCCCTATGGTTTCTTCTAAGACTTTTATAGTTTTAGGTCTTACATGTAGGTTTTTGATGGATTTTGACTTAATTTTTGTGTATATGTGTGTGTGTGTGTGTGTGTGTGTGTGTATGATAAAGGTCCAGCTTTTGCACGTGGAGAGCCAGTTATCCCAGCACCATTTGTTGAGAAATCTGTGCTTTTCCCAGTTGAATGGTCATGGTACCTTTTAGAAGGTTAGTTGGCCATGTGTGTGAGGGCTTATTTCTGGGCTCTATTCTATTCCGTTGGTTGTATGTCTGTCTTTACGTTACCCAGGTGTGACTTTGTAATATCACTTAGACAACGTTGGCTCATGGAATGAGCAGTGATGCTTCTGTGGACCATTTCTCACAGCTTCTCCAGCCTCCTCCTAGCTCCATCCACTATGTTCACGTTTTGTGAGTATGCATGTGTCTTTTTGTGTTTTTATTGCCCCCAAAGCACAGGACTTGTGACCCTGACATTTTGGGTAAGCTGACCCAGACAATGAGGTGTCTCCTTTAAAATCCAGGTGTTCTGGGTATTTCAGGACCTGTGACCAACATTCAACGTGGGGATTCAATCCATGACAGCATTTATTCCAGTTCCGACCCCCAGGGACACCCGGTGAACAGCGTCTTGGAGTTGTGACCGCAGTGGCCCTGTGGCTCCTGAGACACACCCATAGGTACTTCCGAACGGCCAGCGGGCGTTTCAGAATGTGCACGGCCTCCGGCGGGGGAGCAGACCCCCGCTCCCGTCCCCTCGACCCCTGGGCCCACGTGAGGGCGCTGTGTCTGTTCCCCCACACTGTGCTTTTCCAGGCGTCTTGTCTCAGCTCCTGCTTGCCCTTAGCGTGTGTGGCCCAGAGCACTGGCCTCGCCCTTGCCTCTGACGGCGCCGGGATGGGAGAGCCGGCCTGCGGAGGAGAGCTGTCCCCGTGGTCTCTGGGCCCTCTCGCCGGAAGAGGCCCCCGCTCCCTGTGTCTCCATTGCTTTTTCAGCTTGCCCCTGTTTCGTGTTGGTGCCTGCCAGCCACGATGTTCAGTGGCTCGGAGATCACCCTCATCGTCCCCCTCTGCCTCAACTATTTATTTAACCCTCTTGTGCTGAAGGTTTATGCTGGGCAGGCAAGGGGCGATTCCCTTCCGCTTGTAAGGATTTCCAAAGGGATGGGAGGAGGCCTAGAAAAACACCCCAAATTCTTTGACTTCAGGCTTGGACTTGAGTCCTGCCTCCGGGTGGTGGTTCGGGGAGAGGGCCCAGGGAAGCGAGGAGACGGAACAAAGACCAAGGCTTGGGTCCAAACCCGAACGCACATATCTGGCTGTTCCTTTCATCTTTTCTTTGAGGCAAGACCGCACTTTCTTTCATGCAAACTCAGGCCAAATCTGTGGTCAGACTCCGCCCATCAAGAGAGCTAGGATGAGGAAGGGGTGGCAGGCAGGGCCAGCTCCCACCAGGAGAGCTCGTTTCTCAGGCCCCCTTGGCGTGGCCCCAGTGGCTTCTTCTTCTAACCAGTGGAAACCGAAGCAGGTATTCAAAAGAAAAGCACAGATTTGGTACCTTGAGCAGTGAGGTTCTTTCTTGTCGTGAAATTCCCGGGGCATTTGTCGACGTGCCTGCTGCAGCCCTGTTCCTGCCGAAACGTGTCTCTTGCCCTGACCCAGACTTCCTTCCAGAACTGCCTAGTTGCTCATCTCAGCGAGACCGTAGTCTTCTCACTGAGCCTTCTGCGAGCGGTTCTCCATGTTCTTCTCATTCATTTCAAAGGCTGTTTAGCTTACTTTCCTGAAATTGCATCGTTAACAACAACAATTTGAGCTTGTATATGAATTCTTTAAGGAGAGGCGCTTATGTCTTCTGCTAATTGAGATTTTGTCCTATTCTTCCAATTTTGATTCACTTACTTGGAAATCAATCTGAAAAATTTGTTGATAAGGCCATAAAGACCCTAGTAAATGACATTCAATTTAACTTCTTTCAAGGGATTTGGTGAAAGTTGTTTATGATTTCAACAGCAATTTTTCCTTATTAGACACCTACCCTGTTGGCCTGATACACAGGATGGAGTACTGGGAATAGAAGGTCAAATGCCAGGCCCAGGCCTCCGCTCCTGGACCTATCACCCCCAAATGAGTACTGTGCCCACTGAAGGCGTTTGCAAAAGTGTCCATGGCCGCGTCACTCTTCAACCTGCGATCTGCGGGCTCCAGGTGTCAAATATCCGGTGACAGGAGGTCAGGTGCACACCCGGGCGATACCTGTCCAAGCTGTAGTGACGTGGAGGGGCGAGTCACGCTGGACGTCCCCACCTGGTGGCCGTGAGGAAGCAAAAGCTTATATTAAGCTCAGAGCAGGCATGACTCGACTATGGTGACAGTGTCAAAGAGAGCTGACCCCTGGGATGTTGACTGGGAAGGTGGGGGTGGGCGTCTGGGGCCCTAGAAATGTGTCCATCCTGATCTGGCCGGAGTCACGCAGTGGGCCCACGTGTAAACACGGCTAAGCCGTATGGTGAGATGCGTGCATTTTCTACATGTATGCTATACTGCGATGAAATAGCTTAAAAAGAAAAGATGAGCCGTGTGGAGTCCCTGACCTCCGGGAGCTGACAGTCTAGTAAGAGACACACATGGACGGGATCGTGTCCCTGCCTGGGGCCCAGAGCTGCCCCAGAAGAGCAGTTTGCCGGGGGGAGCCACGGGCCCTATGACCCTGCTCTCCAGCCCTGAGTACAGAGAGTGCTTCCTGGCCCTGCTTCTGACCTCCCCGCGGCCGTGGGCTTTGCCAGCTGCTCCCACTGTTAGCGCTCTCCGCTCACAGAGCAGCCTCGGGGCTCCCAGTGGATCCGCTCCCCACCTCGGCCTGTCTGGCTCCGTCCTTTTGAGGTTCCCTGTCCGGGTCTGGCCCTGACGGGTCTGTCTGCCTCTCTCTCAGCCTGGTCTCAGAACAGAAGTCACTGACGAGGAGAAGGGGGAGGCACGACAGAGCTGGCTTTGGCCTTGGGTGCAGCTGAGTCCTGGCTCTGCCCTTGCGCCTGCTCTGGTCCTCAGACCTGCTCTCCCACCTGCGGGCCTTGCTCTCAGGTGGATCCCGGAAGCCTCCGACGCCCCATGACCGTGTGGTTGGCAGGTCTCTCCCTGTCGCTCCATCAAACCTCCCCAGAGAGTCTGTGTCCTGACTGGGCCTATGGGCTCCCCCGGACGGACCAGTGACCAGGGGGCGGAGGCTCCAGGGTGCTGTCTGGCCCCTGAGCCCACCTCGGGAGCTGGCAACAAGCCCAGGCTGCCCCACTGCCACCCCGCTGAGCCCCCGAGGGAGGCGCTGGTGACGCCCAAACTTGGCAGCAGGGCCCAGAGCCGAGCCCTGGGCAGCCTTCCCTCTGGGCTGCGGTTCAGCCTCTGAGTCACCCCGCCCGTCACTGTCTCTGCTGCTGGCCACGCACTTCCTAGGACGGGTCATTGTCAGGGGAACGGCAGTCAAAGAAAGGAGCCCTTTCAGCCTGTCCTCACCTGCCCTGCCGGGCCCCCTGCGGCGGGGACAAGGAAGGAACCTGCCCTCGCCGGTCCAGGCCGGCCGGCATCGCGGGTCAGTCCCCAGAGCGATGCTTCTGAGGGGTCAGTCCCCAGAACGATGCGCCTGAGGGCCGGGCCCAGGGACTCACCCCCAGCCCCTGCTCACGCCCGCCTGGGCCCTGACTCCAGCCCCTGCCACCCAGACGAGGACGGGGCATTTGGAGAAAAGACAGAACTGCCGGCCCCAGCCAGGCCACAGGAGGCCGACGGTGGACAGGGCCCCCAGGGGCCGGGGTGGGGGTGGGCAACTCCCCTGCCCCAGTTCCTCTGCGGCCTCCGGGTCTGGGGGGTCATCGCCCAGGGTCCTGTCCCCGCAGCTCCGATCCGAGGGTCCCCCGGTGCTCACGGCGGCCCTGACACCACCCTGGACCTGAGAAGGGGAGCACAAACACTTCTGTTAATTGAACTCAGCACGTTTCTCTGATGCTGGGATGTTTCACTTGGGGAGAAAACTCACCCCACACAGCAACACAAATCCTCTATTCTGGAGTCAGTTTGATAAAAATCACCATAAACCATGGGAGCTTCCAGAAACTTACTAGCACTGCAGTTCCAGGGGCAGGGGTCCCTCCCTTCCTGGGTCACTGCGTGCTGCTCCCTGAATGAAGATCAGCGTGGCCCAAAGCTGCTGAGAGCTTCCCATGGTCTTAGCACAGCCCGCGCCTGAGCTCAGCGGGACTCTGCTTCCTCATCACGGGGCACGTAGCAGAGTCGCGAATAACAGCTCCGCCGTCCAACGTACACTTACTGGATTAGCAGAGCTAACAAACAGCGTCTTATTCCTGGCTCCCTCCACTGAAACGTGATCCTTCCAGGGGCGAATAAACTGTTCCCACTCGCTGACCTTCCTCCTCCCAGGGAATGGACAGCTCTGCTTCTCCTGACCCAGGCCTGTCCCCTTCCTCGCAGGTTAAACCGAGAGGTCTGCAGAAGCTGTGGGGTCCCCCTTAGGAAGGTTGCTCATTCTCCTCAGCTCTGACTTTCTGGGAGATGAGCCTCAATGGGAAATCAGGAGGACAGGTGTGCGGGCCCCACTGGAGGCCAGCCTGAGGGCCCCGGGTGGCCGGCCCGTCCCTGCCCTCCACTTGTCTCCTGCTTCTCCCGTCTTCCCTGCGGCATTTCCCTGACCCCCGAGAACATGAGGCCCAGAGGCACTGTCCTCCCTCCATCTCCGGGGCTGGGTCAGGGCGCCGGGAGGGCCGTGGCGGCTGACGCCCTCTGCCCTCCGCAGAGCGTGGCCCCAGGCCTGGAGTGCAGGTCAGCGGGCGGGCCTGGCCTCAGCCTGGACGCGCCTCCTGGCCACCGCGCTTGTCCCTCTGAACGGGAGTGGTTGGGGCCGCGACAGCAGGGGGCCGGCGTGTCCTGGCCGCAGTGAGCGCTGGGCGCGTCACCCCTGGACATCCACTAGCCTTGCTGGGTGTGACAGGCAGGTGTCTGGGGACCAGGCCTGGGAACCAGCTTCAGACTGAGGGGGGATGGGGCCCAGCCTGGGGCAGCTGGGGAAGAGCCGACCGCCCCTGAAAGCTGCGCCTGCCCTGCTGCCCCGGGAGCTGCCGTGAGGCTGGCGAAGACCGCCATCACCGGGGCTCAGTCAGAGGAGAGAAGGGGGTCTGAGTGCCGGCAGGTGGGGGTCATGAGTCGGTGCGGGCTGCAAGGACAGGCATGTTGATGGAGGAGGTATGGTAAGCTTTCCCTATTCCACATGATGAGAAAGAAAAAGACGGGGCATCAGTGCTGACGGCTCTATGTGCGAGCTTGTATATATACTTTTTTAAAAATCTACCTGTTCCTGACTTCAAACACATTCTTTACCCGATTATTATGCCATTGGGTAAAGAGGATTATACCTCTTCCAGAATATTGTGTTTATTTTCGTATTCACAATACAAGAATGCTTTCATACCAACTTGGCCGTGTAAAGAGTTTGATTTTTAAATACTCAAGGTAGTTACTGCGTTCTATTCCCACTGTGGCTCTGCCGAACGCTATGAGACGGGCGTCCCCAGGGCCGCGGGGGCTGTGTGCGCGGCCAGTGAGGAGGGACGGCTGGGGAGGGAGAGGCCTGAGGAGCCTGCCTCGGGTTGCGCCGCAGGTGGAGTGTGCAACGCCAACAGTTCACACAGCTACTGCCGCACGCTACGGCCCGGGGCTCCTCGGGGCGCCCTCCGCTCAGCTCCAAACCATCACTTTAAGATGGTCCCTTAGGTTCTAGAGGAAGCTGCCTTCCACCAGGCCTGACGGGCCTGGAGCTGCGCGTGCCGCCAGCTGAGCAAACATGCCTGGGAAAGAGAAAGTGGCCTCAGGTCCTGGCAGGGCCCAGGCTTTGGCGGGGCAGGTCCGCAGGTGGGGGAAGAGGCCTGGTGCCCTGCAGCACATTGGCCGTGAGCGATTTGCCGCCTGCTACTCCTGACTTTTGTTTAATGGGGACCAGAGGCAGGAAGCCGAGGCAGCAAGTACCGCGGGGCAGGAGGTAACAGGAGCAAGGAGAGAAGGGGTGCAGTCTTTCTCAGCCCCACCGCGGGTGCCCTGATGGGGCTGCAGGGTGCGCCACAGGGTCACTGGAAATCCCGGGAAAGGGGTAGCCTTTGGGGAAATCCCAAACAAGCCTTGTCAAGACTTTTCCTCTTGCGCTTGGAAATCTTTCTTTATTCTAAGAAACATTTCACACGTTTATTTCTGGCTCGCTTTATACTTTCCCGAAACTTGTTGGGTTAAAAGCTACTTGATGCCTGAAAAGCCCCTTACGGAGGGTGTGGGTGGGCAAAGGTGTCTCTGTGTGTGAAATACAAGGTGCTCATACTTTGCCTTTCCAGCAGCTAGCAGCTGAGCAAAAGCTGATGCTCTGAACATTTTTCCATGGTTTCTGAGCGGGTGCTTCCCCCAATGATTCCTGGCCCTTCCTGAGGACAGAACCCTCACTTTTCTGGACGATTCCATACACTGAAGAGCAAATCCTGATTTTAGAGCCTCGGGTATTTCTCCCCCTTTTTCCACACTCACACCTGGATTCATATGCATTAGCCAAATTCAGGTGGAAAAAATCAGATGCTTATAAAAATATTCTAAAAAGTCATGCCTAACCTTTAAGGGGAAAGGGCTAGCTGTTTCATTAAACATTTATCACTTTTTTGGGGGGGAAATAAACTTTATTTTCCTCTCTTGGGGAATTACCCAGAAGCAATAAAATGCTGTTTTACAACTGAATATTCCAGTTTACATCTCGTGGAATGAAGCAAAATAAATATAAACTTTAAAAGTATGGTCATGGCCCATATATTTTAAAAAGTGTTGTCACCACGGACCAATGCAACTCGAATATGTTTCTTTAATGTTTCACTGTGCAGGGCTGGATAGACTTACTCCTAATATCAGTCTTGTTTCTTAATTGTCTGATTTCTGCTGTAGTGTTTGATAAGGGGGAAAAAAAGGAGTGTTGATGGAATATTACATCTTATTTAAAGAATAAACGTTGTTGAAATCTGAGAGTAATTCCTGGGAATGAATTCCTGTTCCCCCTCCTCCATCCTGCAGATCTTTCCTGGCTGTGTGTACTTCTGTTTTTGTTCAAGTTTCTCTTTCTCTTGGAGTTTACAGGCACCTCCTCTGCGAAGAATTCATCTCAGTTTAAGCGCCTTCCCCCTACATATCCAAGGATAAGGAAGGAAATGCTCTGGAGCCTGGGAGTTGCTTCCAAACAGTGCAGGGGGCTGAGAAGCGGGGGTGCGGGTGAGGGTGGAGGTCGACCAGCTGGCCGTGAGCTGAGCATCGTTGAAGCTGCATGTAGGGCACCCAGAGATGGTGATGTTATTCTCTTTAGGATGGGTTTGAAATTTTCCACAGCAACATTTTCCTCAGTCGTCTCGTCTTCACGCTTCTCTTTCACTGGACTCTGGGTTCCCTCCTGGAGTCCCTGAACATTTACTCTGGAAAGGATGCCGCTTTGCCCAGCTGACCAGCTCTGACAACGAGATTTTTGGAGGTCTTCTGAAGACAACCCAACCTGATAAGACAGTACCCATCACTCTGTGCATCTGAGCGAGTGTTATTTTAATTCTGTTGGGGCACGCGGGCCCCTGTCCTCAGGAGCCCAGGCTGGACTTGGACGAGGGGCTTCACCCCCTTTCGGGTCTGGCTCTGCATCTTCCCCTTCCCTCCACCTCCCTCCACCGTGTCCCTTCCCACCGCTGCTCTTCTCTTCCTTCATCTCAGTTCCAGCTCAACCCCCTTGCCTAGACATGAGGGGAGATCTGCCCATCACTGTCCTCAAACCCAGACCCCTCCGGAGCAGGTGGGTGGGTGCTCAGCCACCATCGGGCGTTCATCTAAGGCACCTACTTAAACCCGTAGCACACTGGAATAGGTGTCGCCATACAGCCCCTGTCTGACACTGGGCAGTCTCCAAAGGGATGAACTCAAAATCTGTCCACAGTGGAGGTTTAGATACGCTCAGAAAAAAGTCTGGGAAGTCTGGGTGAGGGTGTTACCATCTGGAGTCAGGAGAGAGAGCTGGAATTGGACCTCTTAAAGCCTTTCTACTCTGCCAGACTCCTCAGAACACATCAAAACTTACTTGTGCTCTCTCTGTATAAGGGTAGGATGGATAACTAAAAAAAATCACAGGCAGATGATAGTATCAGAATTCCAAATTACTTCAATAGGCAAGAATCAGGATGTAGAGCCAAAAAGGTCAGGCACAGCATTAATAGTTCTACAGCATGCGTTTGGGTGAGAAGTACCAAGGTCAATTGTATAGCAGAGCCCGGACATCTGGTATATATGAAAGGCTTGAGATTGCAGAGAATCTGCTCTGAGCCTGAAGGGAATGTCCGGCTGCATGAATGCATTTACAGCATCCGTATCAAGGGAGGTGACAGTTCCATGTCACGGTGCCATGTCGTGGTCACTGTAAGAAAGGGCCTGACACTCTCGGGAAAATCCAGAGGGAAGTGAGTGGACTGAGAGGAGTCTGGAAACGATCATCTATAGGATCATGAAAGGAAATGGGAGTGACTAGAGCCCCAGATTTCTAGGAGGACAAAGGGGGCCCCCAGGACACTGGGAAGTTCTCACAAAGGGCACAAGAGAAGAAAGGGGTTTGGGAGAACCTTGTGACGATGTTGACGAAATCCTGGGCTCACCCCGAGCTGCACATGGGGAATCAGATTGTAACCGGCACATAAAGGACTAAAGGACTTTGAGTTAACAGATCGACCACGCAGGTCCCAGCCAGTCACCGAGCAGCAAGTGAGGGGGGCAGATCCAAACACCTCAGCAAAGACTCTGAAAGCGACCTGACCCGAAAACCTCAGAGATGGTGGGTGGGAGCTCACAGCCTGAACCTCCCTGGGTGGACTGTCTACACTAACAAAAGCACCAATATTTTCTGTATATTTTACCCAGAGTCTCCTTACATAATAGTCAAAATGTCCAGGATGTCACCCAAAATTACTTGGTATAGAAAGAATTGGAAAAATATCAACTGGCATGGCAAAAGGCAGTCAACAGACACCAATAAGGTGACGCAGATGTTGGAATTATACGACAAAGATATTAGAAGACATTATTAATAAAATGTTCCAAAAAACAGTTGAGAATACACTTCAAATAAAGGAAAAGAAAGAACTGGAAAATGTAATAACAAAACCTCAGTGGATGGGTTTATTAAGATACTGTAAAGTGTTCCTACGATAATGTGTTTAATTATGTGTATATAGTTTATTTTTCAAAACAATGACTCTTTTTAAAAACCTGTTTGCAAATTCCTGAAAATGAAACGACCAGGTCACAACATAGCTGTCTACTCTGAACATTCTTTCAATGCGCAGTAAAATGCCCTGCATGGTAGGACTTGTTAGAGGATTTAATACAGAGACCGACACTGCGAAACTCCAAGTGGTAGCCAAATGTGCATTTCTAAATAGAGCTAGCTAGTGGTCTAGGGAATAGATACACTCTGGGAAATGTTGACCCAGACAACCAGGCTTGTTCTGTGGCTCAGTGGTAAAGATTCCGCCTGCAGTGCAGGACAGGCAGGAGACCTGGGTTCGATCCCTGGGTTGGGAAGATCCCCTGGAGAAGGAAATGACAACCCACTCCAGTCTTCTTACCAGGAAAATCCCATGGAGAGAGGAGCCTGGGGGGCTAAGGTCCGTGGGGTTGCAAAGAGTCAGACACAACTGAAGCGACTGAGCATAAGCACAACCCAAACAAACAGCTTACCCCCACGATGCTCTTATTCCCCCTGTTTTCATCTCTCTCTGGCTCTGTATCCACTTAAAACCCTTACATCCCCTCCAATTCCAGGCCTTTAATCTTTCCTGTTTTCTTCTTTCTACACCCTTCTCTGTAACTCATCTCCTGGCACAATGCAAGGACTGTCACTGTTTCTTTACAGACAGCAGCCAAGTTTGAAATCTGGATTTACAGTCATAGTTTTGGAAAGGCCATACTTATTTTCTTCCATTGCTTTTTCCCCAGACTTAATAATTACACCCTCAAAATTGTCTCTCACAGTATCCATATGCTTTGCAGCTCTTAAATCACAGGAAAGATGGAGACTATCTCATAAGCTTGGCAAGGCGAGCCTCTGTGAGGATGTCAGACAGCGGTCTGCTTTCTGGTGGCCAGATGATTTGTCCTCAGATCTCCATCTGTGTTGACCTTCCTCCCACCATTTAATTGCTAGAGCCTAAAGCCCTCGTTAGTAAGATTGGAAGGAGCCAGGCAGTCAGAGATGATGCGGTTTCCCCTGTGGCCCTCAGATGGACCATCCGTCACAGACAGGCTATCGCCGGCGTCCCTGGATCTCGCTCGGGAAACGCTACTTTTTATTACTCTGGAACATGTTTATGTCCGTGAACATCATCCTGAACTACAGGAAGACGGCTTGATAGCTCATTCCTCTTCATTTGCGTGCAGCTGTTTCTCCTGTGTTGACAATTTTCCTGAAGAAAAATGTTGCCCCTGGTGGAGCGGGAGCCTCTTTCAGCATTGCCAGAGTTTCAGAAACAAACGAAGTGCAAGGGTGAAGCCGCTGCTGGGGGGGCCTCCCTCTGAAGCAGGGGGTGCCTGGGGTGCGGGGGGCTCTGGGGGCAGGGAATCTGAACCCCTGAGAGCCTGCCTACCTCGCTCCAGGAACCAGAGTTCAAAGCTGACACAGGTGGAATGACCAGATCCAGAGCGGAAGCCGACCACCACGGGACACCGTCTCTCCACCGCTTTTGTGAGTGCTTCAAAGTCATAAGTTAGACGTTGGCAAATTGGTTTCCAGGCAGATGTGTTCACACACTTGTGGATTGCCGAAATTGGGTTGTTGGTTTGCTTTCTGCTCGCCTGTCCAAGAGGACATCAGCTGACACAGTGGGATTCCTCACCGCTGGCCGGCGACACAGTGCCTCATTTCTATGAAGAGTAACACGCTTTCTTCCTTTAAACACGCTGGGTATTTTGGAAGAGGTAGATTTACTTATCCTTTTAAGCACTTCTAACATTTGTAGTCTCATCAGAGGAATGACTAAGTTCCAGTATTTTTCTTCCTTCTTTGCATCTTTACTTCCTAAGATAAAGCTTGTCCTGTAGCCTTGTCCAGTCAGACAGAAGAAACGCTGTTCTCAAAGGTCCCATTTTTATAATACTTCTGTTTGTAACACTAATCATAGTTTTAAGATCTAGGACTCCATTTAGTCATAAAGAGATCCTCTAGGCTGCATTGGGTAGAAATAGTAGATATATCAGGTGAGATAATTATTGGTCAGTCTTAATGCACAAAATATAACTATTTTTAATTATAATTAAACTAAACTAGCTTCAATGTTGCTAATGGTTTACAACATGTAGCACACCTACATACTGTAGCTGAATATGAACCAGTTGTTCACAATGGTATATCAGCTACAAATAGATGGTGGAAAAGTGGAAACAGTGAGAGATTTTATGTTCTTTGGCTCCAAAATCATTGCTGCTGCTGCTGCTAAGTCGCGTCAGTCATGTCTAACTCTTTGCGACCCCGTAGACGGCAGCCCACCAGGCTCCCCCATCCCTGGGATTCTCCAGGCAAGAATACTGGAGTGAGTTGCCATTTCCTTCTCCAGTGCATGAAAGTGAAAAGTGAAAGTGAAGTTGCTCAGTCGTGTCCGACTCTTTGCGACCCCAAAATCATTGCAGATGGTGAAATTAAAAGATGCTTGCTCCTTGGAAGGAAAGCTATGACAAACCTAGACAGCTTGTTAAAAAGCAGATCTATCACTTTGCCAACAAAGGTACATATAATCAAAGATATGGTTTTTCCAGTGGTCATGTAGGGATACGAGAGTTAGACCATGAAGAATGCTGAGCACCAAAGAATTGATGCTTTTGAACTGTGGTGTTGGAGAAGACTCTTGAGAGTCCCTTGGACTGCAAGGAGATCAAACCAGTCCATCCTAAAGGAGATCAGTCTTGAATATTCATTGGAAGGACTGATACTGAAATAAAAAATGTGTGAGGGTGAAGCTACTGTTCAGGGGAGGGTGGGAACATGTTCAGGGAAACAGCACTTTCCAAGGTAAATGAAGGAGTTAATCTTATTTTCTCAGAAATGAAGATTTGAAAGCAAATCCAATACTTCAGCCGCCTGATGAGAAGAGCAGACTCACTGGAAAAGACTGAGGACAGGAGAGGTAGGAGCGACAGAGGATGAGATGGCTAAAGAGCATCACTGACGTAGTGGACGCGAGCTTGAGGAAACCCTGGAGACAGAGAAGGACGGGGAAGCTTGCTGTGTTGCAGTTCACTGGGTCACAAAGAGTTGGACATTGCTTAGTGACTGAACTATAACAAAGTAAAGTTTACCTTCATGAAAAAGAATAAAACAATCTTGTGCAGAAAGAAAGAACGGCACCTCTTACCCCACTTATCGCAGACAATAATAGACCTATAACTTGTGATAAGTTAAAATGAAGTTATTATAAGGATGGTTGTGTCGCTGCTGTTAGCGCTAAGAGCTAAGGAAAATTTTCAGTTTCATGTTTAGAGCTACATGCCTCCCTTTCTTCTGTGGTGTCAGCATTTGTCCAAAAGCAGTTCTGTTTCCCGGAGAGGATGGTCTAGGTGAGGCAAAAGGAAAACAGGAATTTCTACTAAAAAGAAAACACAAACATGAGCTATGTATTTAAATAAAAAGGAAACCAGCATTTTCCAGGATAAAGGAAAGAGTTTATCCTATTTTTCTCAGAAAGGAAGATTTGAAAGCGAATCCATTTATAATTGCAAAGTCATAAATGGATTGATAAAATAGTGACAGATTCAGTGTATATCTTTTAGTAGCATGGAATTTAAAAAGTAGAAACTGCTATGATATTATTTCACCCAAAGCATAATAAATAGAGAGAGGAAGGTCACTGGAGTTGATGCCTTAAACAAATACTGTGGCTCAAGAACCCTCTAACACGGTGAGGAAAAGGTTGAAAAGGGCCTTATTCTGTGCGGTATTTGAAACACACCCTCCACTACGATTAACCCAAAGATAAACTGAGGGCGGCCAGCTATGCATTCTTCTTTCGGGTCGAGGAAGTCACTGAGATATAATTTCATGTCCTACTTTGAAAGTCTGGGATCAGTGTTATCCGGACTTAGGCCGTGTTTTGACAAATTATCCTGGGAAGCAGAGTTGCCACAGTGCAGGTCCTGTTTCACTCCTTGGGGAAGCAACGCCCCGGTTCTCAGGCTCCCGTGAAACCCACGCTGAAGAAGGGAACCATCTTCAGACTGAGCGTGAGGCTGGGCCCAGGGCCCACCTGACCGGTAGACACGGAGTCAGAGGCTTCACCTGATAGATTAGACGTGCACTTCTCTCGGGGGGGGACTGAGGGGCATCTCAAGGAGGGAGGAGTTCTAGGAAGAATCAAACCTCGCATTTTTCGACTGTGTCCCAAAGCCCCACATGTTCCCTTCAGTCCCCTGTCCTGAGGACCAGCCTCCCTCGAGGAATAGAGTCCAGGCCTGGAACCCTCTAAAGGGTCCCTTGCGTCACCCTGTGAGACCCAGGCAAGACCAGTCAGGGTGGCACCCTCCTCCTGCAGGGAGCTCAAGTGAGCTTACTCTGGCTTAATTAACAGTGACTAGATGGGCGATGACCTCCCAGGGGACGCTACTGGTTAAAAACTCCACTTGCCAATGCAGGAGACGCAAGAGACACAGGTTCGATCCCTGGGTCGAGAAGATCCCCTGGAGTATGCAATGGCAAACCACTCCAGTAGGAGCCTGGTGAGCTCTAGCCCACGGGGTCGCAAAGAGTCAGACGTGACTTAGCAGCTAAACAGCAGCACCAGACGGGTGGTGCTTCGGGGGACTCAACGTCATCGTTACCGGCGGCTCTGGTCTCCGCAGTTCATGCCCCCCTTGTCTGCTGACCGCCGTGGCGGCAGGAGCTTCTGGCGGCTCCCTGGGTGACACTAGCGAGGCTCTAGCCTCTGAGCCAGGGCGGCGCCGGCAGCTCGGGAACGCGGAGCCTCTCGGGGGCCCTGTCTGCCCCGTGATGTTGGAAGCCCTGTGGAGCATCTCCAGGCCTCGGCCCTGTGGCCACCGTGCCAGCGGTGTCCCTTTCCAGGGCGGGGACCCCTATTTTCTGAGTGTCCCACATCACCCATGCAGGTTTGATCCTGGGAAAAACCAGGAAGCAGCTAGATCTGGGTTTCTTTCTGCTCAGATGACCAGGGCTGGGGAGGAGAGTTAACGAGTAACAGATGCACAGTCAGGGGACTCACTGGGCGGCCGGCCGTGTAGACCCCAGGTGTACACCTAGCTTCGGCAGAAGAGTCTTGTTCCATGCGTCCTGGGCTGAGTTCTGTGGTCATCTGTCAGCCTGGCTTCCCCACACATTATTCCATAAGCTGAGCTTTCCTTAAAACAGAGCTTTGAATTACCCGAGTTATTAATATCTCCATCTGGCTCCTGGCAGGAGAGTAAGTTGGGAGAGGAAGGAAAACCCATCTTCTGTCTTCTCCAGAAGCTGAGGAGCTGACAAGTTTGTCAATGTGTGTAAATCCACAGGCTTCTCATTATATTTTCATGCAACGCAGACAAATGGGATTTAAGGTCTCAAGTTGGATAGAGAGGGCCCAGCCCAGTCATTCTCAGGGTAGGTACCCCTGTGTCTAGGGAGAAGGGCTGTCAGGTTTAGCAAACAGAATCACAGTAAGTACAGTTAAATTTGAATTTCAGATAAACAACAAATAATTCTTAGTATAAGTATATCATGGGCTTCCCAGGTGGCTTAGCAGTAAAGAATCTGCCTGCCAATGCAAGAGATACAGGTTCGATCCCTGGATCGGGAAAACTCCCTGGAGAAGGGAATGGCAACCCACTCCAGTATTCTTGCCTGGAGAATCCCCAGAATAAAGGACCCTGGCGGGCTATAGTCCATAGGGTTGCCGAGAGTCGGACCTGACTTGAAGCGACTTAGCGGGCATGCACCCATAAGTATATCCTCAATATTGCATGGGGCATACACTAAAACGTGAGCTGTTGTTTATCAGAAATCCAGGTTTAAATGCGTGTCCTGGGTTGTAACCCTCCGTGGGGCTTATGAAATGGGCCTGAATTACTACGACACTTGCATGTAGCTCTGGAGTCTCCTGGGCACGCCTCAGCAGGCCTGCGCATCCCACGCTGACTTATCAGGTGGTTTCTGAGACACGCAGAGTGTCTGGCAGCGAGCAGCTACACAAAAGGCGTTGCCACGTAGAAGCAGAAATCTGCTGTGGGAAAGAAAAAGGCGAGTACGGAATGGGTCTTTGGGGTTCAGGTTTCAGGGAGGGGAAGTTCCTCACAGAGATCTGACGTGTAGTGGTAGAAAACAGCACTCAGCTGTCACCACTGGGTTTAAAACTGTGCCTTTCTATCGTGCTCGCCAGTCTCACGCCCTGTGAAACTCGGGCAAGGAGGATATTCTATGACAGGAGGCTGATTGCGGCCAGATGCTAGTCTTGCTATCTCTTCTGCCGCTGCAGTGTTATCTTCATATCACAGAACAATGGCCCAGAACGACGGCCCTGATACACAGTAGTCCAAATCGTCAAGTTACGAGGTCTGGGAAGCCTATATGCATCTCGAAAATTGTTTTCAGTACCTTCCCCCCCTTTTCTAAAATCCACTCACTTATAACTAAGAGTCCTGCATTCGCACTCTGAAAAAAATTCCCTGACTTCTGGGGAAAGGATGTTGATGCAGTTACTGTTTTCATTATTGAACATCATGTTCATATTACCATGGGAAAGAGCCCTTTCCCTTCAAAGGGACGGCGTCCCTGAGCTGCCTGGGGAAACACATCAAGACCCACAGCACCCCCCGCTGTCCTTTAGAGGGAGTGCGTGCTTCTTAGGTTGGGCGGTTGCGAGAGGTCGGTCACCAGACCCCTGGTACAGTTCTGTGCACGCTTGCCACTGCTTCTGAATCTCGTCTGCTTCTGTCAGCTCCTTGCTGTTTCTGCCCTTTACTGTGCCCACCTTTGCATGAAATGTTCCCTTGGTATCTCTAGTTTTCTTGAAGAGCTGTGGGAAGAGTCTTTCCCATTCTGTTGTTTTCCTCTATTTCTTTGCACTGTTCTCTTTAAAAAGGCTTCCTTACTTCTCCTTGCTCTTCTCTGGAGCGCTGCATTCAGTTGAGTATATCTTTCCATTTCTCCTTTTCCTTTCGCTTTTCTTCTTTTCTCAGCTATTTGTAAAACCTCCTCATATAACCACTTTGCCTTCTTGCATTTCTTTTCCTTTGGAATGGTTTTGGTCACCGCCTCCAGGACAATATTACTAACCTCCATCCATAGTTCTTCAGGCATTCTGTGTACTAGACCTAATCTCTTGAATCTATCTGTCACCTCCAGGATATATTCATAAGGGATTTGATTGAGGTCATACCTAAATGGTCTAGCCGTTTTCCCTACTTTCTTCCATTTTAAGCCTGAATTTTGCCATAAGGAGCCAATGATCTGAGCCACAGTCAGCTCCAGGTCTTGTGTCTGCTGACCATACAGAGTCGGATGCCTTTGCTGTTTTAGTCGCAGGTGCTAGGGTACCGAACATAAAACCAAGGAGGACGAGCTAGAGAAGCGCCCACTGACTCCAGATGCGGAACAGGGCAAAGCACAAATCCTCCAAAGGGAGTATCTGCACGACACCACGGCAGAGCGGGCGCGGCTCGGGTTTCTCCTCCGTTGCGCTGGAACAGAAGCTCACAAAGAGAACTAAAATCAGGCGCAGCTGTCAAAGTGTGAGAGGAGCTGGACCCAGCGTGGACCCTGCAACCACAGGCGGGTCTCAGCTTGCTCGGGGGCTGCGGCCCCTTGGGGTCAGATCTGAGGCTGCACCCCCCCCCCCCCGAGTGGTAGGAGCATCCCCTTCTCACTGGTGGGAACGCCGTGGAGTCGGCAGGCTTCCCACCCACCCGACGGCACTGTGGCCGTCTCTCCTCTCCCCGTGGACATCCGGTGTCAGAGGCGTGCGGCTGGTCAGGACCACCTGGTCCGGGCCCTGCCCTCACTCTGTAAGCCTCGGGTGACTGGTCTAAAGTCCCGGTGACATCTCTGTACAGATACTTTATTTCCACAAGCTGCAGTGTGGCTCATGACCTAGTAGCACATTCTATTTACAAACTTCTCCTTTTGGTGGCAAAATGAAGTTTCAAAGAGATGACAGATGACAGATGGTCACAGAGGGACTTGGGAGGTGGGTGCCCAGGTACCTGGCCAGACCTCCTCAGACACTTGGTTTTATTGCTTTTAGGGTCAGTTTGGTTCATGGAAATGTATGAAGTCACACCCCAAACAGATGAAGGGTTAGTCTTGGTCTACTGGTGAGTTATTCATTCTTCCATGACCCTGGTATGCGAAGTCGAGGGTAAACCATTACACGCGACGGGGTTCTGAAGCCAGACTGGAGTCCTTTCTGAACTCAGGTAGATCAACTTAAGTTCACAACTGAATTAAAATGCTTTTAAAAATGGAGCAACATTTTAGTAAAATTAAACAAGACAGATCAACTCACAGCATCTCAGATATTTCTGCTTTTTTTCATAGATCAAAGAACTCTGAGTATGTTTAATTCTTCTGTGTCTTAGGTTTATAAAAATGAAGAACCTGAAAACGGAATCCCAAAAGACAAAAAAACTCAAACTTGAGCTGACTGTCCTAAAAGGGAAAGTCCTTAAAACATCTTCATGTTTGGGTCAGGCTGCCAGACTTTTAAAATAAATTGCAGTAAATAGAGCCAGAGAAGAGAATCACGTGCAGAGGGTGTTCTCTCGGAAATGTCGTCTGGAAATCTCGTCAGGAGCTGGTTGCAGACCATCCTCCTTCACCCAGTCTTTTGGGTTTATTTGGTCACTACTGTTTCTGTGAAAGGCAGCTATGGGCCTCTGGTTTTCTGCGACCAATTTCCATAAAGTTCATTTAGCAGTTCAAACTTTATTAAGACTCTTGACAAAAACAGCTGCTAGAATTGCAAAGGAATGTAATAAAAAACGTAGGGTCAGAAACAACCAAAGTCTATAAAAGCAGCATCCACTGTGTGCCAGCCCCCAAGGCATGCAAACTGATCACAGCCTGCACCCGGACTGGGGGACCCCCGAGTGGGCAGACGGCAGGGCCCTCGGGCTCGGCCAGGGCTCTGAGGCTCGGGGCTGCCTGCCCCCGCCCGGCCGATAACCTAGTTAGGGTCCAGGCAGGACGCCAATGAGAGCGGGACTGGAGAGGCTTCGTAGTCTTAATGCCTGAGGAAGCACCAGCACAAATGCATTTTATGTTGGTTTTTTTTTTTTTTTTTTTGAAGCAGTAAAAAATCTCCAACACGCACTCATTTACAGAAAAGAGAACAATACATGTTCAGTGGATCGCAGTCTCCATAGTCTCACCAAGGGGCACAAACTGGAAGCAGCTAGACTCCGAGGTGCACTTGAAAACCGTGGGGGAAATGAGGGTTTGAATGGAAATGTGTGGCAGGACTCCACGCCACAACCCTCGGTGGTCGTGTGTCTTTGATTTGGGGAGTCCTGGATGTGCATCCCGTATGCTGGTAAAATGACATCCAGACATTTCAGGGGAAATGGGAACACGACAGTTGATGTTGATTTCCACAGAAAAGTGTAGGATTCAGAAAATTAGAAAATGCAGTTTATTTTTGTGGGTTTTGACTGAAATCACAGAAGAGTCAGTCTGAAGAGGCTGGTGTGATACAGGAGGAGAGAGAAGGCAAAACCGTCTTCTCCGTCTCCTTCCCCGACCAGGCCCCCGACACACACCCCGAGAAGGAGGGGTCCTCTCAGCATCCCAGTGAGGGCTGACCTGGGCCCGGGGCCACTCACTCACTCACTCTCATTCATTCACTCGCTCCTTCAACAACCCCGGGGGAGCTTGTCTGCTCAGCCAGGGCCCCCGCATGCGGACGTGGAGCGGCAGCCTGTCCTCTGGTGCATCTCCTTTGACGGGAGGCCGAGGACAACGGGGTCCTCGCACAGGTGTGAGCAGGAGAAGGCCGACTGCCTGGGGCTTGGAGGTCAGAGATGAGGCAGCAGGGACTGAGAGC